TGTGGCTGGCGTGGGCAGTTACAGGAGACCGGAAACATCATTTGAGATAAGGAGGAGGAGAACTTAGGGCACAGCCTACCGCCGTGCCCAGGTCCATGCGCGCAATGCCCCCGGGTCTCCGGAGCAGGCTTCGGGAGGCGGAGCGCAGCCGGCAGGGCGCTTGTGGAGCAAGTCCTGTGGACACGCAAAACGTACCACAGGGAGGAGAACACGGAGCCGGGAGGCACCCAGGGGCACTGAGGAAGAAATCGACAGTTTGGGGCAAAGCCACCCAGCGCCCGAGCCCGCGCAGCGTCAGCCCAGGACTTGGGAGTCCACCGGGCCGGCCGGGAACTCTCGGCCGGGCGGGGCCGCGGGAGGAGAGGCAGGAGCGCAGGGAGCAGGAGGGAGCGGCGGCACACGGCGACCCGGTGGCCAGTCCGCAGGCGCCACTTTAACCCGGAAGCACCACGCAGGCTGTGCGCACAACTGACTTGACAAGCGGGCTCCCCCGATTTCCGATAATGGGCGCTTCTGCGGGGCCAGGCCGCAAAGGGGCGCGGGCCGTACCATGTCTCCACGGGGGGAGGACGCGACTCACCCAGGAGCTGGGAGCGGGGGCAGTGACCGACGCTGGAGTCTCAGGGGCGCCGGACCGCGCCCTTTCAGAGTCCCTTTCGCGATAGATTTTGTAGAGCCGGGGGCCGAGGACGCAGCTCAGCAGCTTCGCCATGGCCCCGGCTCGGGCCGCCGCTCTCCGGCTGCAGTTCCCCGCTAGCCCCGCCCCCCGGCCTCCGGGGCCTGCGTGCCCCTGACGTCAGCACGCACTGGCTCCGCCCCCAGCCCCGTCGGGCGGCCTTCCCCCGGGAGAGGGATTCGGTGCCGGGACCTACGGGGGCGGCGATGGTCAGAAATTAGTCGGAGGAGCTTGGAACGCGGAGAGTTAGCAGGTGACCGGGCAGAGTTCAACCAGCTTTTTCACTGGAGCGACATTGGGCAGGGTGTAGGATTAGGAACACTTGACAAAAACAAACAAAAAAAAGGTTAGGTGTCTAGGAATGCAAGATTTTATGAAGAAAAAACATATAAAGTTTTTTTTTTTTTAATATATTTTATTGATTTTTTACAGAGAGGAAGGGAGAGAGAGATAGTTAGAAACATCGATGAGAGAGAAACATCGACCAGCTGCCTCCTGCACATCCCCCACTGGGGATATGCCCACAACCCAGGTATATGCCCCCTACCGGAATCGAACCCGGGACCCTTCAGTCCGTAGGCCGACGCTCTATCCACTAAGCCAAACCGGTCTCGGCAACATATAAAGTTTTTGATAGAGGTAAACGATGGACAACTACACCATGACCATGGATAGGCTGAGTATGGTGAAGGTGTGTGAAAAAGAATGGTTGAATTATCTCTAATGTCGAGTGAAAAAAAAAGAAGCCACAGATTACATACAACATGCCAGCATTGTATAAAGTTCAAAAACACGTAAAATGTAATGAACAACTGAAAGATAAAGAGCAAATTTGGAAAAGTGTTACACAGCATAATCTTTAGTTGAAATGGTAATATTCTGTTTCTTAATAGAACACAGGTTTTATTTTTCCTTGTACCTTACACCTACATAATATATATACCTGTTAGCTTTTTTTTAATGTATTTTATTGATTTTTTTGCAGAAAGAACGGGAGAGGGATAGAGTTAGAAACTATGAGGAGAGTGGGGTTAGGGAAGACAGGAACGGGCAGCATGACAACTTTAAGAGGGAAAGAAGGGCATCCGAAATAAGTGGGCTGATCAACGAAAGGAAATGTGGCTGGCGTGGGCAGTTACAGGAGACCGGAAACATCATTTGAGATAAAAAGCCGGGAGAGGGATTTGGAGAGAGAAACATCGACCAGCTGCCTCCTGCACACCCCCCACTGGGGATGTGCCCGCAACCAAGGTACATGTCCCTGACTGGAATCGAACCTGGGACCCTTCAGTCCACAGGCCGACGCTCTATCCACTAAGCCAAACCGGTCAGGCCTTAAATTATTTTTGCCTGTTTGTGTACTTTATGACTTCTTTTACTCTCGTTATGTTTGTGAGATTCAATCTGGTTGTATATCACGGTGGTTGGTGCATTCTCATTGCTATCGAATGGTCCATTGTCTAACGATGCCACAGTTTATTTAGCTATTATACAGTTGTACATTAGATATAGTCTTTGGTATGCATGGACTGTTAGGGTCACCAGAGGAGGAACTCATGAGGCCAAAGTGGTAAGGGATTGTAAATTTACTAGAGGCCCAGTGCGCGGATTTGTGCACTGGCGGGGCCCCTCAGCCTGGCCTGTGGGGATCAGTGGACCTCCGCACTGCTGCAGCCCAGCCTTACCCACCAGCTCACTGGGCTCTAGCCTGCTGGTCGCCTCGATCCCACACAGCATGAAGTAGTGTGCGAAGCTGCAGGTGGCTGGGGAGGAGCTGCAGGGGGAGTGTCCGAGGGAGAGGCTTCCACCTCTGATGCAGCTGAGCTCCCCATGAGCTGGCCAGGGGTCTTCTGGTGCCTGTCTGTCATCTGAGCCACACTCCTGCTATGGGAGCACACTGACCACCAGGGGGCAGCTCCTGCATTGAGTGTCTGCGCCCTGGTGGTCAGATTGCTTCATAGCAACCGGCTGGTCCACCAATGATCCAGTTGCTTAGACTTTTATATATATATATACTAGAGGCCCAGTGCACAAAAATTTGTGCACGGGGGGAGGGGGGGTGGATCCCTCAGCCCGGCCTGTGCCCTCTCGCAGTCTGGGACCCTGCGGGGGATGACCACCTGCTGGCTTAGGCCTGCTTCCCGGAGGTTGGGCCTAAGCTGGCAATCAGACATCCCTCTGGCAGCCCGGCAGCCCGGGGGATGTCCACTTGTCAGCGGGATGCAGACTTAAGCTGCAGTCAGACATCCTTAGTGCTGCTGAGGAGGCAGGAGAGGCTCCCACCACCACCACTGTACTGGCAGCCATCAGCCTGGGTTGTGGCTGAGCAGAGCTCCCCCATGTGGGAGCACACTGACCACCAGAGGGCAGCTCCTGCATTGAGCGTCTGCCCCCTGGTGGTCAGTGTGTCATAGTGACTAGTCATTCCCAGTCTTTCTGCTTAGGGTCAGTTTGCATATTACCATTTTACTATATATGATAGAGGCCTGGTGCATGGGTGGGGGCCGGCTGGTTTGCCCTGAAAGGTGTCCCGGATCAGGGTGGGGGTCCCGCTTGGGTGCCTGGCCAGCCTGGGTGAGGGGCTATTTGCAGCTAGTCACACCCCCTTCAGGGTGGAGGTCCCCACTGGGGTGCCTGGCCAGCCTGGGTGAGGGGCTGAGGGCCGTTTTCAGGCTGGCCAGCGACTGAAGCTCCCAGCCTCTCCTTTTTTTCTTTTTTTTTTTATTCTGGGATTTATTTACCTTCTATAATTGAAACTTCATTGCTGTCACTGGAGCTGAGAGCTGGCTCCAGCTCTGAGGCCACGGCCTGCTGAAAGCAGGTATCTGGAGTTTGTTTAGCTTCTATAATTGAAACTTTGTTGCTTTCGGAGCTTAGAGCCGGGCCGCGGCAGGCGGGAACCTTGGCTTCCTCCATCACTGGAGCAAGCAAGCCTCCTGCTCGCTTCAGCTGCGTGGCTGCCAGCTGCCATCTTGGTTGGTGGTTAATTTGCATATCTTGCTGATTAGCCAATGGGAAGCGTAGCAAAGATATGGTCAATTACCCTTTTTGTCTTTTATTAATATACTAGAGGCCCAGTGCATAAAATTCGTACACGGGGGGGGGGGGTCCATCAGCCCGGCCTGCACCCTTTCACAGTCTGGGACCCCTCGCTCCTTACCACCTGCCTGCTTGCTCCTTACTGCTCAGCTCGCTGCTCCTTAGTGCTGCTGCAGAGGTGGGAGAGGCTCCTGCCACCGCCGCTGTGCTTGCCAGCTGTGAGCCTGGCTTCTGGCTGAGCAGCGCTCCCCCTATGGGAGGGCACTGACCAAGAAGGGGCAGCTCCTGTGTTGAGAGTCTGCCCCCTGTTGGTCAGTGCATGTCATAGCCAGCAATTGAGCAGCCTTAGCATATCATTAGCATATTACACTTTGATTGGTTGAACAGAGGACCAGATGACTGGACACTTAGCATATTGGGCTTTTATTATATAGGGTTAGGTCATCTGGAGACCAGATGGGCTGAGCCCCAAAATGGTGCCAGGACCCCCAAAGACAGGAAATTAGAGGGTTTTAAATGACTCTAGTTGGTTTTTTTCTGGGCAGAGAATTCTCTGTGCAGGTCCGGATCCTGGGAAACTCCGGAGGGGGTAGATATAATGGTCTTAGCAAGTGGAATGTGGTCTAAGCAAAAGGGAATGTCCATTGTGAAGTGGCCTAAAGGTCTGTTCCCACAGGAGGGGATATCGATTCAATTATTTGATTAGACTTAACATAGACTGTTATACAAAAAAATTTTTTTTAAAAAGAAGCAGCCTTTAAAAATAAATAACACATTAAAAACTGTAGGCCACTTGAATATCTGCCTTGAGAGCACTGCCTGGGGCCAGTGAATTTTCCAGGTCCTTGCCACTCTCCTCCTTGAGTAATAACTTCACATACTCATCAGAGGCTGATGAGAAGAGGTCTGTGGTGTGCCAGGCAGCCCCAACGAAGGCCATTTTATTTATTTATTTATTTATTTTTAAATATATGTTATTGATTTTTTACAGAGAAGAGGGGAGAAGGATAGAGAGTTAAAAACATCAATGAGTTAGAAACATCGATCAGCTGCCTCCTGCACACACCCTACTGGGGGATGTGCCCACAACCAAGGTACATGCCCTTGACTGGAATCGAACCTGGGACTCTTCAGTCCGCAGGCCAATGCTCTATCCACTGAGCCAAACAGGTTAGGGCAAGGAAGGCCATTTTAAATAATTTCTAAGGTATTGACTGGGTATTCAGTCTCATGCTGGGTGCCGTGGAGACCAACCTGGAGACTCAGTTTCTTCCCTCATGGCGGCATCTCTTAAGGTGGAGGAAAAAAGGCTTCCAAACTGGCAGGACCCCTTCTGTGCAGGCTTCTCGGCATGGAGAGGCTTCTGTCGGGATCCCTCCACCGACATGGGGCCAGGAGTCAGAAGGGTGAGGAGGCTGTCTTCGGAGAGGCCTGGACTGGGCCTCTTTCCCATCAGGACAGAGAGGCAGTGGTCATTTTTCCGCCAGTGGACTTGCAACTAGGGTTTATCTCCCCAACTTCCCATCCCCTCCAGAGGCCTGTGTCACTCTGGACCAGGGAGGGCAGGCCTTTATCTGGGCTCTGTTTCCTCCCCGGGGACACCAGGTCCCAGGCAAGAGAACTTGAAAGGCTCTCCCATGGCGGTCTTATTCCTCCTCCTCCTCCTCGGGGGGCTTCCTCAGGCTGCTGCAGGTAAAGAGCAGGAGGTGGGGACTCTGCAAGGCTGCCACTTCTCCTTAGGGGCCTGGGGCAGGCATCTGACTCACGAAGGTAGATTTTCCCCAGCTGACCTCCCCCATCTCTAACACTGGGATAGACCCAGAGACCCTGAGGACCCAGGTCATGTGCAGTTTCCTTTAGAAAATGAGAATCGGTGAGTAACTGCTTCCAGAAAAGGAGAAATGAGAGGAAGAAATACGGGTATTTGCCAACTATTCCACCTTTTCTCTCTTGCCCTCCGATTCCCTCATTCATTTGGGGAAAGGGAGGAAAGCCCCTACCCTCTCTCTCCATCTCACCGTTTTTGTAGCTGTCCCTTGCGAAGTGTGCTTATAGCCAGACCAGTGCCCGGAGACCTCAGGAAGGAAGGAAGCCAGGGGTTGGAGGTTGAGATGGGGGTGGAGGGGGGGGTGTTTGATCTCATGGAGGTATCTGTCCTCACACAAGCCCCTCCCTACAGACAACATCCAGGCCATCTATGTGGCCTTGGGGGAAGCAATGGAGCTACCATGTCCCTTGCCACCCACCCTACATGGGGACGAACTCCTGTCCTGGTTCCGCAGCCCTGCAGCAGGCTCCTCCACTGCCCTGGTGACCCAAATCCAAGTGGCCAGGCCAGCCCCAGACCCTGGAAAGCCTGGAAGGGAGTCCAGGCTCAAGTTGCTGGGGAACTACTCTTTGTGGCTGGAAGGATCCAAGGAGGGAGACGCTGGGCGGTACTGGTGCGCGGTGCTGGGTCAGCGCCACAAATACCATAACTGGCGGGTGTATGATGTCTCCGTGCTCAGAGGTGAGTGGGGGCATGAGACCAGGGGCCACTGGGAGATGGGGAAGCCTGAGCAAGGAACTGAGGGGCCCCTCTCTCCCACAGGATCCCAGTTATCTGCCAAGACTGCAGATGGAGCGCCCTGCTCTGTCCTCCTGTGCTCTGTGGTCCCTGCCAGGCGCCTGGACTCTGTGACCTGGGTGGAGGGGAGGGGCCCTGTGAGGGGCCATGTGCAGACCTTCTGGGGCGACGGGGCTGCCCTGCTCTTGGTGTGTCCTGGGGAGGGGCTTCCTGAGTCCAGGGGCCGCAGACCCAGGCTCATCCGCTGCGTCCTGCCTCAGAACAAGGGGGTCGGCTTTAGCCTGGCAGGTAATGGGGTATGGGGGCAGGGGGGTATGGGAAGGGTGTTCCTTCTGGCACATCCAGCCTGCTGGCCAGGGGAGGAGGTGAGAAAGAGGCGAATTTGTTATTGGCCCGGTCAGGAGGGTGGTTTCTGGTGGTGCTGACCATCACTGCGGGAGGAGGGCCTTTCCGCCCTCAGCTGAAGCCGTAACCATAACCGAGGAGGGGGTGGTTAAGCCAACTTTCTGGTGGAATAGACAATAGTCAGGAGGGGGGGAGAAGATTTCTGTGGAATATGTCATTGTTTAAAAATAGGCTAACCTATGATTTGTGTGAAATATCCCATAGCAGAGAGGAAGAAAATAAGAATCATTGCTGGGGTAGTAATTGTCTTTTGAAGAAAAGATATATGCACGGATGTTATAATGGCCATTGATAGTAAAGGCAGAAGGAGAAAAACATGTGATTGTTTTACCAGAAAAAGTCCATTATACAAAGAAAGAATGCCATTGGATGTGGAATAACCCTTTACACGCGGGAGGGAGGAGCACAGGGCCACTACTGCCATCAGCAAAGGTCAACCACGGCAGGGGCTGGGCTTTACTGCCCCGACACCCACTCGCCGACGGTGCCTGGCATGTGGTGGGCACTCAGCAAATGCTATGGAGTGAGTGACTGGAAGAATGAATACATGCAAAGCACTTTTTTCCCCTGAACGGGTGGATTACTGTGCGGGGTATGAGGAGAATGACAGCATGGCTGGCGGGCTGCTCTGGAGTTAGCTGTCCGTGTGTGTTGGGTGTGGGAGGCGTTGGCTCATGGTCAGGGTGAGAGACCTAGAAAGGGGCAAAGTGGGTGTGGGTCCTGGGGACAAGGAAACTTCGGAAGTCTTCTTTTGGGAGAGCCCACCAGTCGATGTGGGACGCCTCTCTTTGGGGCACAGGGACAGACCCCCTCACTGCCTCCCTCCTTTCCTCTTGCCCTTATACAGCCCCCACGGACGCCTCCCCTGCCCTCTGTGCCCCTTCCACGGGCTGGGATGTGCCCTGGATCCTGATGCTGCTGTTCACAGCAGGCCAGGCTCTCGCCGTCCTGGTCCTCAGCATCATGCTCTGGAGGCGGAGGGTCCAGGGGGCTCAGTGCAGAGGTAAGAGCCCCCCCCCCCCCGCAGGGGGGAGAAGAGAGCACTTGGGTGAAAGGTGGAGGGGGGCTCACATTGCCTTTGTACCCCATCTTCTCCAGGGGAGGGGAGGAGAGGGAAGGCAGCTCTGGGCTATCTGGTGGCTGTCTGCCTCACTCCATGTGGCTCCTTCTCCCCAGATGCCTCGGTTCCTCAGTTCAAACCTGAAATCCAGGTCTATGAGAACATCCACTTGGCCCGTCTCAGGTGAGGAACAACGAGGGGACAGAGGCTTCCATCCCCGAGGGCACTGGGCTGGGGTGGACAGGAGTCCTGTTCCTGAGGCGGTAGGAATGGAAGTGTCCTTAACCCATCTTCCTGTTTCACAAAACCCACAGCCCACCTGCCCCCAAGGCCAGATGATCTCCGTGGCATCTGCTGGAGAATGACCTGCGGTCTCCCTGGCCACGTGGCACCCGAAAGAGCCCCTGAAAGTCTTGGCGAGAGGGGTGGGGTCGAGCGAGCTACTTCACAGCCGCTGGTCTCCCACAGACAAGCTGTGTGTGTTGGGGGGGGGGGGCGGAGAAAGGAGATTCATTATTTTGTGATGTCACCTTTGAAAAAGTGTGGTCTCCTATCTGTAGAAGCCAGTGGAGGGTGGCCCTGAACCCACAGGCATGGGACTGAGGGAGCTGGTGCAGCTGGAGGGGAGCATGGTGCAGCTGGCAGGGGTGAGGAGGGTGGGGTGGGCAGAGAGGAGACAGAGGAATCCAGGGCCTTGAGCCAGAGGGCAAATGGGGGAAACTGAAGGGGAGAGAAGGGAGGAGACTCAGTCAGACCAAGGGATGAGATGATCAGAGGTAGAGAAAAATGGAAGCACGAAGCAGGGGGATTGAGGGACAGGGAGAATGGAAAGGAAACTCAAGTTGCCTCTAAATGAGGTCAACAGCTCCATCGTCACAAAGCAGAGAAGAGTTGAGAGAGAACGAGCACCTTCACTTAGACCCCAGACTCCCTTAGATGGAAGGGGAGGGAGCTGGGCCAATATGGGGCCCATGCTCGGCCCCACCCTGCCACCCTCCTTATCCTAGGCACTCCATTGTGGCATCCGGAGCAATGAGTCGCTTATGTCACCCTGACATCCTGGGATCCGAGTCACACACTATCTCCCTGGGCAGGCGTGTTCACGGGGCGGGAGTGTGCATTCCCAGGCAGGGCTGTGATGGGCCCTGCGTGCAGGGCTGTCTGGGAGCGGGGGCAGGTCTGGGCTGGTGAGGCAGGGACGCTCCCAGCTCACCACGCGGCAGGTCAGGCAGAAATGAGCTGGCCACCCAGCCACACCCTCACAGCAGCTCCTCCAGCGCCCTTTTGTGTATCTGTGCAAGCCTGGGCCTCGCTGGGAAAAGCTTTCTTGGAGGCTTTCTCACCTAAAGCCTCCACTCTGCAGTGGCTTCAGCTCATCTGTCGGCAGGAAGGAGGCACGAATGACAGACAGAGAACGAGATGACAATTATGGTCCGGGTTCCAGCCCCAGCGCAACCACCAAGAGCTACAGTTTGCTTTTAGAGAAAACACACACGCGCGCACACACAAACGCATGCACACACACCTGCATGCACACACACGCATGCACGCACACACATGCACGCACGCACGGCAGTGTTACCAGACCCCAGATAGCACTTTATTAAATTCGCCCTTCATCGTTCCCCAAGCCCTCCTTCCTAAGTTCCTGATCTACCAAATGGACCTTCCTTGGCAAGACACCCCTCCTCTCCATACATGGGGTCCCTGCCATCCCCTTGCCTGGGACCCACAGCTCCATCAAGCACCTGCCTTGCCAGAGACCTGGGGCTTGGAGAGGGCATCAGCCTCGGTATCTAAAAAAGACAAAAGACACAGAACAGCATTTTTATGAGGCCGGGCTCTGGGCAAGTTGTGGGGGCTGGAGCAGGGCCCACAGGAATCAGGTCTTGGAAGTGCTCTGCAAAGCTGTGGGGCCAGGGAGCTGAGGCCTGTCTGTCAAGGCAGGATCTTGGCCACATCTCAAGTGTCAGGCAGGTGTCCCCAGGGCCGCAGAGACGGTGAGGGCATCTGGGTTGAGGGCCGCAGCTCTGAGGAGGCTAGAGGAGGAGGGGGCTTGCGCAGGTGAAGCTGGTGGTGAGGAGCAGGGTGGGGAGCAGGGGCCTGGGGGCCGCGTTGCACAGGTCCTGGTCGCAGCAGTGGTGCCGCAGCGAGTAGGAGCGTGACCAGTAGGTGGCATGGCCAGGCAGAGGGCACTGGGCCCTGGGGAGGCAGCCTTTCCGCTGGATGACCTCACTCTGCTCTGTGGGAGGAAGGGACGATGCTGAGGCCTGAGGCTGAGGCCGGGGTGGTCGGAGGTCGGGCCAGGGACAGCAGGGAGGGCAGGACCGAGGGGGTGGGGAACCATCTGGGGGAGGGCCGTTGGGCCAGAGTCCTACCTGAGGTGCCGGTGCTGACGCCACAAGCTTCATCATCCCCACACTCGGTGGGAACAGGGTAGCAGGGTTTGGCAAAGCTGCAGGTGTAACAGTGGAGCCGCCCCCGGGCAGGGAGAGTGGTGAGACCTGCCGGGTTGGTGGAGATCAGGAGGGTGGAGGAGAGACACACAGGCTAGGGGAAAGGCAGAGCCAAGATCCCAGACAGGGGTGCACGGAGTGAGGGGCGGCTGAGAGGGGAGAGGGAAGCGCTGAAAGGGAGCACGAGGGGGACAGAAGTAGGAAAGGAGACACGGACCAGGGAGAGGTTACAGGGAAAGAGAAAGACACAGACGTGAACAGAAGCCAAGAGAATCGGAGATGAGCTTAGAGAATGACAGAAGCCAGGGTGGGAGGCGGCAGTGAGGAAGTTTAGCGGTGGTGCCAGGACAGATGAAAACATCAAAACATCGGAATTGGCATTTACCAAGGAGCCCAGCGAAGGAGCAAGAGGTGAGATAGGGACGGGGACAGAGGCTCGTGCAGATGCCACGGGAAGACAGTCGATCTCCGGTGCCTTCCGAGGGACCTTGCCAGGCTCGCCTGAGGCCACCCCCGGTAGCTCCTCTTTCTAAACTCCTACAACTCTCCTTGGCATCTCTCAGACCCCCTCCCCAGCCCTCAGGCTTTTCCATGAACCCCGCCCGCTGCCCCAGAGGACCCCCAACCTACCCTTACCCAGTGCTCCACAGAAGAACAGGATGCAGAGGACGGCCCTGGAGATGCCCATGGCTGGGTCCAGGGCTCAGGAGTCCGGGAGACTGACTGCACCTGAGTGCCCCAGATTGGAGAGCAGGAGCATCTGAGGCTGGGAGGAACCAGTAAACAAACACACCTAGGGAGCGAGAACCAGCCCACATTCACCAGCCTGAGCAGCGGGCCTCTGCTCCTGCACCCCACACCTCCCTGGCCCCGCAGAAGCCTGCCCGCTGTTCTCTCAGCTGCTCTGAGCTCCGGAGTTGTCTGTCACCTTCCCTCCTAGTCCTCTTCCTTGCCCCCCTGCCCCCCTGCTTGTCTAAAGCTGTTTTCTGCTCTCTCAGCTCTTCTCCTTGTCTTGGCTTTCTCTTTCCCCCTTCTCTGCACTAATGCTCTCAGGGTCACCCTCCAAACAGCCTTGGCCCAGATCCGTTTAAGTGTGGGGTCAACAACCTCCCTTCCACCCCAAACACACAGCCCAGCTGCTTCAGGGAGGGCCCTTCGGATCCCTTCAAGCCCAGCATCCCTACCCCATAATGATCTCTCCCGGCTTTGCTACCGGACTTACACGTGAGGTCAGAGGGTCTGATGTGTCTCCACTGTGGTAGGTCAGTGAGGGGGGCCATGGAGACTAGGAAGAGGTGCAGGGGGATGGGGTTTGGGGGCAGGGGCAGGGGCAGCGTCTGGAAGACAGGGGTTAGAGAGACGGGAGGGGACAACCAGCTGCAGAACCAGGCAGGACTATCCCAGGACAGGACTGGGTGGGGCGGGCGTGGAGGCACAGCTCTGCTCAGAGCAGCAGTATTGGGGCTCTCCTTGTCTCAGGCCCTCTTCACACTCTCAAAAGTTACTGAAGACCCCAAGAGCCTTTCGTAGTGAGTTATAGTAACATTTGCTCTATTAGAAATCAAAACAGAACATTTTAAATAGGTTCACTTAAAAATTAGAACAATGAACCTGCCACATGTAAGCCAAACAGATTTTTGTGAAAAAGCACTTCTTTCCCAACAAAGATGGCTGGGCTCTCGTATCTACTTCCACACTCGGTCTGTTGGGTGCCCAGTGCCAGCTGAGGGAGACTCTGGCCTCCCTTTTCATTGCCGATAAAGCCCAGGGCAGCCCTGACCGGTTTGGCTCAGTGGATAGAGCATTGGCCTGCGGACTGAAGGGTCCTGGGTTCGATTCCGGTCAAGGGCATGTACCTTGGTTGTGGGCACATCCTCAGTAGGGGGTGTGCAGGAGGCAGCTGATCAATGTTTCTAACTCTCCCTCTCCCTCTCCCTTCCTCTCTGTAAAAAATCAATAAAATACATATTTAAAAAAAAAAAAAAGCTCAGGGCAAGGGTTGTAAGGCTGGCAGGGCAGGATGGGCGTGGGGGCCGTGGGAGGGAGGCACAGACACAGTGAACCCCCTCCTTGTGGGGCTGCCCTGGGTGAGAAGGCAGCCAAGGCCCCTGCCGCACAGGCTGGTCGTCCTCTGCCCAGGTCCAGCGCCTCCTCTCTGGGCCAGGACACCGCACCTGCGCTCTGACTGCAGTGCCCCAGGCAAAGCTGGGACACCTATGGTGAGGGCCTCCTGTGCATCCATCGCATTGGCAAACCCCAACTAGCCCCGGGGGTGGAGCACGCTGTCTGGGAACTGAGTCCTGGTTCCCCCTTCCCCTAGCGCTTTCCTGCTTGCAGACCTTCCAGGGTCAGGCTGGGTCTGAGCTGTCGGTAGCTCCTTCTGTGCTCCTGGCACTGAGCCCCTCAGGACCCCCTGTCTGCTGCCCGTGTGTCCACCTGCCCCCTCTTTGCTCTCCAGAATCTCACAGACCCACTCACGCACACGGTTAGAAAACCTCAGTCCCTTGAAAGCAGGGACCAAAATATTAAACCAGACTTCAACTTTCCAACATCAGCTAAGGACCAGGGAGGTGTGTGTGTGTTTGCATTTTTGTTCTGAAATGACTTTAGATTGACAGAAAAGCTGTAACAACAGTACAGAGAATGCCCATGTGCCCTTCCCCGCTTCCTCCAATGTGACATCTCACAACCAGAGCACAGCTGGCCTTGCACACGGAGGGGTCAGAGGTGCCACATCCGCTCAGTCAGTCTGTGTATAACTTGTGACTCCCCAAAACTACCTACAAGTGTCCCTTGGTATCTGAGGGGGATTGTTTCCAGAACACCACCCCCATCCCTTTGCAGATACCAAAATCCCCCACGCTCAAGTCCCTTATAGAAAATGGCATTAAAAAATAAAATAAATAAATAAAATGGCATAGAACAACGCACATACACTAGTCAGCCCTGTTTTCAGCCTGCAGTTGGTTGGATCTGCAGATGTGAAACCCGGAAAAGGAGGACCAACTGTATATTTATGGGGGGGGGGAGTCTTTATATAAGTTTAAACCCTTACTGTTCAAGGGCCAACTGTACAAAACCAGACAGTAAACCCGTGCGGCACTCTGACTGACCTGCAGGCCTTACTTCATTTAGCCCGTTGCTCCGGGGCCCGTCCCAGAAGCTCACATTGCCTTTGGCTCTCCTGTCTTTTTATTTATTTATTTATTTTAAAATATATTTTATTGATTTTTTACAGAGAGGAAGGGAGGGGGATAGTCAGAAACATCGACGAGAGAGACATATCAACTAGCTGCCTCCTGCACACCCCCCACTGGGGATGTGCCTGCAACCAAGGTACATGCCCTTGACCGGAATCGAACCTAGGACCTTTCAGTCCGAAGGCCGTTGCTCTATCCACTGAGCCAAACCTGTTACGGCTCTCCTGTTTTTTTAAACGCCCCCAATCTGTGACAGTTCTGAGTCTTTGTCTTCCTTGACCTTGAAACTTTTGAAGAGTCCTGGTAAGTTATTTTACTTTTAAAAAATATTTTTATTGATTTTAGAGAGAAAGGGAGAGGGAGGGAGGGAGGGAGGGAGAGAAACATCAATGATGAGAATCCTTGATCGGCTGCCTCCTGTACACCCGACACTGGGGATAGAGCCCATAACCCCATCATGTGCCCTGACTCGGAACGGAACCGTGACCTCCTGGTTCATAAGTCGATGCCCAACCACTGAGTCATGCCGGCTTTATCTGGTATTTTCACACAATTAGATTGAGCTCATGAGCTCTTGGCAAGAATTGCACAGACATGATGTTGGTCTTTGCAGTGCAGCACACAGGGGGTCACAATGCCAGTGTGATAACTTTGATCACTTGGTTTTAGGGAGGTGTTTTCTGAGGGAGCAGAGAATCCCTTTGTGCTCCTTGAAATCCCATCTGCTCTGCCCCCGAAGGCAAGTCCTCCAGCCAGGAGGCTGACAGCTCTGCCTCAGTCAGCACATCATTGCAGTTAAGTGGAAACAAAGTTGGAGGGACTCACACCGCCCACAGGGCTGCACCGGAGCCTGTGCGGCAGCCCTGTGGCAAGAACTGTGGCCCCGGCCTGCATCTTGGCTGCGGCACACAGCGCCCTGGCCTGGGTCTTACCAGGACTGTGGAGAGGGTAGTGGGACTAGAAGACCGGAAGGGAGCAAGAGAATGAAGGGGATCTGAGGTGAGAAGACACACACTCCTCTGTGAGCCATTAAAATCTATCGACCAGCCCTCGCTGGTTTGGCTCAGTGGATAGAGCATCAGCCTGTGGACTGAAGGGTCCCAGGTTCGATTTCTGTCAAGGGCACATGCCCGGGTTGCGGGCTTGATCCCCAGTAGGGGGCGTGCAGGAGGCAGCCAATCAATGATTCTCTCTCATCATTGATGTTTCTATCCCTCCCTCTCTGAAATCAATAAAGATATTTAAAAAAAAAACACTATCAAAACCACTCTAGAGCTGACTGGAAAATTCCATCTCCCTTTTGTCGATGGTAGGGCTGAAGGAGTAATAGGCCTAGTTTCAGGGTTATGGTGATGCACTCCTTATCCGACCCAACCCCGGAGGACAATGGAGAAGCTGCCCTAAGTTACCCCTGGACCTTGTTGCTAGGGAGAACCTTCCTTAGCAACGAGGATCACCCAGGGGAGCAAGCGCTGGCTGAGTGGGGCTCACAGAGTCAATGAACCCGTTTGTCCAGGTTGTTCTCCTTTCCCGTTTGCAGCCTGGCTCCCAACAGGACTCTCGAACTGAGAGGGGAAGTAGATGGAAGCCTGTGCTAGGAGGTTCACTCGGTGCCCCACTTAGTAACCGGGCCAGGGGAGGCCTCTGACTAACCTTGGGACTGACACCTGCAAAGAGGGTCCTGGGTCCCACCCCCCTGCGATTTTCCTACCCTTTTGGGGAGCCCTCAAGCCTGGCTGCACCTCCTTCTTGGCAGTCCCTCAGAGGTGTGACCTACGTTTGAGATAAGGATTGTCTCCAAACACTGGGACCTGTGTGCCACCCCCATGCTGGAAGGGAGGGTGGATGCTGGAAAAACCTGTTTCTCCATTTGCCCCAGCCCAGCCGCCAGGGAAACTCCCAGAGGGTCTGGGGAAGGGTGGGGGCTGAGAGGGTTATTTCTGAGATGGGGGAGGGGGGGGCTCTGACAACAGGTCTCCTGACAATAAATGCACGACTTATCAGACACAGGCATTTATTACTCAAAATGGGAAGAGGTGAGCAGGGCAAGGTCCTCAGGTCTTCTCTCGAGCCATCACGGGGGACAGGCCCGGACCCCAAGTCCTCCCTAAGCAGGGCCCAAAGGGGAGCCCTTCTGGGGCCGTGGGAGAGCTGGAGGGAAGCGGGAAGGGACTCAGCAGAGCCGAGAGGAGGGTGTGGGTAGAATGACCGATAGGGCGACTGCTGTCCAATCAAAGAAATGTGAAGGTCTGAGAAATGTTTCCCAAGCAAAGGGAACTAGGGGAGGCCGCTGTGGGCAGCCAGGGGTCCGGAGGCACAGGGAGAGGGGAGGGGTAAGTGTCAGTGCAGCAGCCAGAGGCCGGCGCCTGCCAAGGAGGTGAGGACCAGGCCCAGGGCCGGGGCGGGCCGAGGGGCTGGGCTGTTGCAGTTGTCCTTCTCGCAGCAGGTGGTGTTATAGGTCAGGCCCAGCTTGCGGTTGGTTTGGTTCAAGGCCTCCTGACAGGGCTCCGCAGGTGTGCCACAGCGAAGGTTGGAGAAAACCCACATCTTGCCTGGGGGTAGGAGTGGGCAGCGGTGTCAGCTGGGATGGGCACCTGGGATGCTTGTGTCCACTTCCCCGCCCCACGCACTCACTCAGCCTCCTTTCCTCCCCATGCTGCCCAGCTCCCCCTTCTCTCTCTCTCCTCAGTCTCATCTTCCTGCTGACTCCCAGACCCCGCCCTTCGCCCAGTCCCAGCCCTGTCACTGCCGGCTGGGATGCCTTGGACCTGTTACTGCTGCTCTCTGAGGCTGTCTCCTCAGTATAACAACAGCCACATCATAGGGTTGTCATGAACATGAATTGAAACAATCCATGTAGAGATACAGAATGGGGCCTGGTATGAGATAATTTTTGGCCAATAGTTCTCACTGCTGTCATTCTCTGTTCCAGCTCAGCCTTAGCCCCAGTTGGGCCTCAGCCTCAGCCATAGAGTCTCCCACCGGCCCGGTCCCCGCTAAAGAAGGGCAGATTACCGAGGTACACATTTGTTGTCAGGCATTTCTGTCCTGGTTCCAGACGGCAGGACGTCCGGTCCACACAGCCCAGCACAGGGACCTTGTAGCAGGAGTGACAGCGAATGTCAGCTGGGAAGACACAAATCAGGCTGAGGTGATGGGGTGTCTGACTCACCTGGGACTGAGCCGGGGGGGTGGGGGGGGGGTGGAGAAGAACTAGTGCAGTAGGTGTTCTGACCGGTTTGGTCTGAGAGGGACAGAGCAGGTGAGTGCCAGAGAAGAAGTGGAAGTGGGTGAGGGTGGAGTTGTTGCTCTGTGAACAGCCCACACCCTAACTACCTTTCTCCACTCCACTCCACCTGGGGATGAGTCAGGAGGGCAATGCTACCAACAACAGCACGGGGCTGGGCTAGATGGAAAGTGAGAATTCCCTGGGACAGAGGCAGTGGGGAAGAAGATGAAAGAATTCAGAGGAGGTCACAGGTGGAGACTTGAAATAGGAAGAACTATTCAAAATAAAAATCATGGCCCTCGCCAGCTTAGCTCAGTGGATAGGGCGTCGGCCTGCGGACCTAAGGGTCCCGGGTTCCATTCCAGTCAAGGTATATGCCTGGGTTGTGGGCTCGGTCCCTAGGAGGAGGCATGCAGGAGGCAGCTGATCAATGATTCTCCCTCATCATTAATGTTTCTATCTCTCTCCCTCTCCCTTCCTCTCTGAAATCAATAAAAATACATTTAAAAAATAAAAATAAAAATCATGGAGGATACAGCACATGCAGAAACGGCTTGGAGCTTGAAGCTGGCAAGAAGGCCATGTGCGGCCAGCTTTAGCAATTTACTCTTCACCTCCTGTGCCCACCAAGCGCGTGGGAAGAGGCCCCGACCTGAACGAATCCTCTCCCCCAGGAGCTCTCCGCAGAAAGGAATACTATCCAGGGGACAGATCAGGCTCCGCCTGGGAGCAGAAGGTGGCAGCCCAGAGTTTCTGCCTCGGCTAATCCAAGGTTTGGGCATGCAAGGTTTTGTGAAGGAGGGATTTGGTCCAAGGGTGAACAAGTCTGTGACTGCCCCTCACCCTGGGGGTGAGCAAGCCTGGCATTCCCTCCCTAGAAGGCTGGGGATATCTCCCTGGTGCCCTAGAAGGTTCTAAGAAGTCACTGGCACCTTCCAGAAAGCTTGTGTCTCTGGGGGTACGTGCCCCCGAGAGGAGCAGGAGGCATCTAGGAAAGGCTGCTGCTTGAGGGACTGAGCATGAAGTCCCTGATGGAGCAGATGACAGGTGGGGTGCAAAAGAAGCCCCAGGCGGGGTGCCTAGGCTCTGGGAGGACACCCTGCCGAGCGCAGCCGAGAGAGGAGAAAGCAGGTAAGCTGCATCTTGGTGGGTTTTCCACTGGAGTGGGGCTGGCAGGGGAACTGGTATTAGGGTGCCCAAGAAGGGGGCACCTTGGACTGGGGAAAGGGGACCTGGAACCCTGGCTTGATAGAAGAGTGGGTCTTGGAGGTGGGAACATGAGTCCTTGAGAATGGAGCCAGGATCCTGTCACAGAGAGACCTGGTTCTGGAAGCACAGAACTCAGCCATTTGGGGCCAGGGGTGCTTGGGGTCCTGAGGAGTGGGTAATGTGGGGTGGGGGTGGGGCAGGGTGAACCTGGCCCTTGGGGCCCCAGGTGCTTACCTGAGACCCAGCAGAGCAAAGAAGACAAGGCGAGCAGCAGAAGGCCTTTCATGGTGAGGGTCCTGAGAATGGTAGCAACTGCAGCAGCCGACAGAGCAGATTTCGGGGACCCAGCTCCGGGGGTTGGGTGGCCTTTTCGCATTTATACTCCCAACAGTCCCTCCCTTCCCTGCCTCTGGGGGCCCCTCCTCCCCATTATGGTGGGAGGGACTAAATGGGACTGACTGGGGGAGGGGAGAGGTGAGGGAGGTGGGGCAGGATTGGGGTGGAATGTAGGTGAGCCATTTTGGTTCTTGGTTTCAGAGGAAGGTGCTCCTCCTGGCGCCCCTGCCCACAGCCCTGCGTGCCCATTCCTCTGTTCTCCCAGGAGGCATCACCAAAGGCCCCTGCAATGTTACAGCCCCCGCCCCGGGCAGCTGCTGGTTCCTGGGAAATAGACAATGAGTGTGGCCCAAGACGACTGCCAATTTTGGATCCCTGGGGCCACTGGTAGAATATGTGGGCAGAGATTTTGGATGGAAAGAGCCAAATTAATCTCAATTCAGCTCCTATTTGGTCTTCCCAGCCCCTGTTCAGCCACAGGATTAAGGAGTAGGGTTTGTGGTGTCACCAAGGGTGTCTGTGATGTCACAGCAGCAGAGGCCTGGGCTGGGCTGGGCGGGCCTCAGGTGCGCTGTCCAGCGAAGGCCGGTGAAGTCCTGGATGCCCAGCGGGTGCACCCACTCCAGGGGCCATCCGACCAAAACCTGCCGGTCCAGGCGGTGCGTGGCTGAGGGACCGCGTGGGCACAGAGGCAGGAGGCAGGGGGCCCTTTCCGTAAAAACAGACAGTGAGACAGTGGAAAGTACTTCGTGTTCCCGTGAGTCACCCTGTCCTGGGCGTTTGAGGAGTCATTTAGTTCTCACAATCCTGTACAACGCAGGTGCTTTTGTAGATGAGCCAACAGGCCCAGGGAGGTTAGGCGACTTGCCCACAGCACGCAGCCAGCAGTGGTGAAGGCAGGTTTTGAACCGGCCGGGATGCAGAATTCGTGATGCTCCGACCTGCTCGGTTGCAGGAGTGAAAGCCTGGGAAATGCTGGCGCCAACGGCCGAGCGCGCATTGTTTGAGGGCGGTGAGCTTGCCTGAGTGCTCCCAGAGGGATCCGGACAGCGGGGGCCCCGCCCCTCTTATCGGAGCCCCCAGCCCCGCCGACCCCCGCTCCCCTCCCCCCCATTTCCCTCCGGTCTCCTCCGCTGATTCACTCGCCTCCTCTCCCCGCCACATCCCAGCCATGGCCCCGGTTCTGCAGCTACTGCTGCTGCTGCTGTGGAGGGCTCAGGGGGACCCCGGGGGCAGGCTGTCCCTGGGGAATCAGCATGAGCGAGGCAAGTCGGAGGCCCGGGGCGGGGGCGACTGCGGAGCGGGATGTGTGGGAAGACCCAGGACGGTGGGAGAGGGGAGGGGAGGGGAGCGGAGGGGGAGTCGCCTGGCCTGTGGACTTGCCCTAACCACCCCGGCTCTGCCTCCCGTAGTTTCCTTGGACGGCCGTCCCGGGGACCGGGTGAATCTCTCCTGCGCAGGGGTCTCCCATCCCATCCGCTGGGTCTGGGCGCCCAGCTTCCCGGCCTGCAAGGGTCTGCCCAAAGGACGCCGCCGGATCCTGTGGGCATCTTCGAGCGGGACCCCCACCGTGTCTCCTGCCCAGCCCTTTGCCGGCCGCCTACGAGTCCTGGACCACCCTGGTATCCGGCGGCTAGAGCTGCTTCTGAGCGCAGGGGACTCGGGCACCTTCATCTGCAGGGGCCGCCACGAGGACGAGAGCCACACGGTGCTCCACGTGCTGGGGGACGCGGCCGACTGCAGGGGGTCCGGGCCCAGCCTGGGTAGGTCGAAGCCCCCGCGCGCAGGGGGACTTCAAGCGGACACCTCCCGACGGGGAGAGGAGCCTTGGTTGGGATTCCTGAGAGGGAGAGCTGGCTGTGTGCCCTCGAACCGCTGACCACGCCCTTCCCCGCTCCCCCAGGGTCCGTGTATCCCCAGCTCCTGATCCTACTGCTGGGCGCCGGGCTGGTGCTGGGACTAGGAGCGTTGGGTGCGGTCTGGTGGCAGCGCAGGTGAGCTCGAGGGGCGCGGCCAGAGGCGGGAGGGTTTCCGAAGACAAACGCCAGATCTGGAGCCTTGGGGTGTGGCTCGGTTTGGAGAACAGGGGTGAGGCCGCAGGCTGGTGGGTGGAGCCCTGGCTGGGGAAGCTCAGCTGAGGCAGGATCCAAGCGGGGAGGGAACGGCCCGTGGGGTGGAGCCTGCGTTCTCCTGCGGACCGAACCTGCAAGTCGCGCGGTGGTGGTGGGCGCGGCCTGGAGCCGCCGAGAACCAGAGAGACAACACTGGTGGCTCTTAAAGACGATGACTGTTCCACATCCCTGACAGGCGCTCGCCTCCACGCCCGCCGCGGCCACTCCCCAGATCTGGTGAGCCTAACCCCACCCTTTTCCTTTTCCTACCCGCACATCCCGACCCCGCAATTCCCGAGTCTGAGCCCTTGCAGGGAGCAGACAAGTTGGTCACCTTCTCTCAACCCTTCAGCTCTGTCCCCCCCACATAGTCCCACGAGTGAAAGCCGAGCCCCAGAGACCAGCAAAGGCCGAGGAGCCCAAGACTTCGGGGGACCTGGACCAGGAATCGGTGAGGGCTTGGGGATGGGCGGACCCGGCCAGGATCCCTGAGAAAATTGGACCGAGAGAGACAGAGGCCTGGATTGCTAAGGAATCAGACTTCCGAGACACTGCCCTCCTCCCCACCTTGCAGAGCCTGCTCTACGCAGACCTGGATCGTGTGGCCCTCAGCCAGCCCTGCCGGCTGTCCCCAGTGGTCCCTGCTGACTCCTCCACCATCTATGCAGTTGTCGTTTGAAGGAAAGCCCTTACTCCAAACTTCACAAGCTGGGGGCTCCAGCTCTCCAGAACTACCCTCTCCCTCTTCGACTCTCCCCTGAAAATGAAGGCACCATAGGATAGAAAGGAGCACTAGACTGGGAGTCAGGAGACCTGGCTTCCAGGCTGTCTCTGCCACTGATCTTGCTCCTTCAGCTACCCCACCTCCTATGCCCTCCATGTCTCCTTTACCACTGGTGCCCTCTCTAAAGCTCACCGAGACCTGTTTCCCATCTCAGCCCTCCAAGAGAGTCGCTCCATCTCTTCCCTCCCTTCCAGTCAAGCTCCTTGAACCAGGGGTTACACCTGTCTCCTCCATGTTCTTCTCCTGCACTCTGCTCCCATGAGGCTGCCAGTGAGGTCCTAATGGCCACGCCCAGCAGACATTCTTTAGCATTCATCTGGTTTGGCTTTTGATTACTCCCTTCTTTAAGCTGTTTTTCTTTCTTTGTTTAAAAAAATATATTTTATTGATTTTTTTTACAGAGAGGAAGGGAGAGAGAGAGAGAACTAGAAACATCGATCATTTGCCTCCTGCACACTCCCTACTGGGGCTGTGCTCGAAACCAAGGTACAAGCCCTTGACCAGAATCGAACCTCAGACCCTTCAGTTCGCAGGCCAACGCTCTACCCACTGAGCCCAACCGGTTAGGGCAAAGCTGTTTTTCATTAATGCTGATGTCTTCCTTCTGGACTCCTCTTCCTTTCTCCCTACCGCCATGGTATTCCCCACCATTCTAGGTTTGTCCCTTTATCTTCCTCTTCTGGGAAGTTATCCACGGTGGCCTCAGCCCTCACCTTGGCAAATGACACCCAGAACTCTCCAGCTCAGATGCCAGCTGAGGGATTTCCAAACTGTCCTTCAGACACCCCTGTCTATCTGGCCCTACACATTGTCATACAGCATGTCCAAGACTCATCGTCATCTCCAAACCTCTCACTCAATCCTCCTCTGTATTCCCTCTTGATCAACCCTCTTGCCCAGGCCAGAAACTGAGTCATGCAGCATCCTTCCTGTCACACAATGAACCAAGTCCTTCTGTTCTATTTTAACATCACTGTCAAATCCACACCCTTCTTCATGCCCAGCACTGCCACCTAAATGTATGCTCCTCATTTCCTGGATTACCCAGAAACCCACCTCATCCTTTTTCCTTTGCCCTCCTCCCTGAAGGCAGGTAGATCCTCCCCAAATACTAACTTACTTCTGACAGCCTGTATTTCAGATCTGTAGTATTTCCTTCCTTAAGCATCAGCCCTGGGCCCAGGGGCCTTGGCTTTGGGTACACAGAAGTGCAGCACTCTGTCTACTCTCTAGGCTTATGCCTGTCACATCACATACACACACCAGCCTTGGAGAAATCGCCCACAGGCCCCAAGTGCTGTATGCCTTTGTCCAGTGCAAAGATGCCTTCTTCATGGATTACACTTTTCCTTCCTCTCCACTACCTGCCTGGCTGGTTCTTACTCATCCTCAGGACTCAGTTCAAGTGCAGCCTTCTGGAAGCCGTTCCCGATCCCTTGCCACACTGCATACATTTTGATGCCCTGGGAATCCCCTTGTTTCTCTCATAGCAATAGCCTCCTGTGACTTGTTCCATCACAACCTGTCTTTCTGTTTGAAAACAATGTTCAAGAATTGTGAGTTCCCTGATATCAGGAGATGGCCCTTTTCATAGCACTGCTAAGCCTCAGTAAATGAGTCAACAAAAATGAGTATTTCTGCAAGTGTTATTTCTTCCTATCAACAACGATGCTGGGTTAGTAATCTAACAATCTCTGAGTCATCTGAGCTTTAGATAAATTCAGCAAGTAATCCACCCATGCTCTCTCTCCTCTGCCCTGTACATGCTTGCGCCTGAGCACCTATGATACAGGGCTGGGCAATGAGTCAGCGAGTGCCTAATGAGGGTTTGAGGAATGAAAGAGGCCTCCTTCCCTTACTATCCCCAGCCTCAGCCCTGCCCCTGTCCCTCTGCCCCAGTAAAACAGCAGCCACAGCCCAGTCGGAAAGGTCAGTTCTATTTTATTAGTTCTGGGAGAGAAGACTCACCCAATGATCTCTCTCTTTTTTCCCACACTATGCCCTCCCCCTACCTAGGGACCCTGTTCCCACTATTCACCATCCTTTGTCTAATCCTCCTTCCCCTTCTACTCCCTATACTGCCCTATCCCTGACCAGCCAAGACCCCAAGGCCAGGCCCTCAACTGTGGGGGCGTGTGCTGAGTACCAGGCAGAGGGAGCTGAGCCCAGCACCTGCCTTCTCCAGTTCCGAGCAGGACACAGGGACCAGGGTGACATCAGAGAGCTTCTGCAGTGCCTGCAGGGAGGACATGGGATGGGGAGATGGGAGTGAGACAACCACACACCCCTTGCAGCCAGATCAGAACGGTCCCACTCAGGCTTCCAGGTAAGGACTCCCTCCCTCCTCCTAGGAAGGCCTGAGATGCTTTTCTCTGGTGGTGGTTGGTGGAGCTTCTGCCCTCCCCCCCTCACCTCCTGGCTGTTGGGCAGGTCCCCCCCTCCACGGTGCAGGAGGAAAGGGAGCACACCAGGCAACCCAGGACGCAGAAAGAGACAGTCAGCGGCTGCATCATCTGGGAGGGTCAGGGAGGCGTAGGGGTGGTCCGTCAGCACCGCCATGGCCTGGTGTAGAGGAAAGAGGCAGCATTCAAGTCTCAGAGCCTCTGCACCCCGGGCCTGGCTGCCCTCCCAGGCTGAGTGCTGGGGACTGTTAGTTGGTGAAATAATCAGGACACAGCACATACTGTGAGTCACTCTTCTAAGCGCTTGAGTTACCTGTGCTAATTTCCACCTCAGATTCACATGCAGTTCTTTTATTTTTTTTAAAAAAATATATTATTTATTTTTTACAGAGAGGAAGAGGGATAGAGAGTTAGAAACATCGATGAGAGAGAAACATCGATCAGCTGCCTCCTGCACACCCCCTACTGGGGATGCGCCCGCAACCAAGGTACATGCCCTTGACCGGAACCGAACCTGGGACCCTTCAGTCTGCAGGCCGAAGCTCTATCCACTGAGCCAAACCGGTCAGGGCAACACATGCAGTTCTTCCACCTGCAACCCCTTGGCCCCATCTCCCCCCCTTCGGCCCCCATCTATCGGCCTCAACCACCCTTCAAATCACAGCTCAGATGCCCCCTCTGGGGATTTTTGGGAGACTGTGTAAATGTAAATCGACTGTTCCCTGATCTCCATCGCCCTGCCCAGTTATACCTCCTGGTTTTCTCGCGTGTTTTCACAGATGCACTGGGCCCTGAGGGCAGGCGCTGGGGCTCATTTTCGAAGCCTCCCCCCCCCCCGCCCATAGCCACGCCCACGTCCCTGGGCCCCGCCCCGGCCCGGCCCCGCCCCTGCTCACCCGGACAGCCTTCTGGGCTGCGTCGCTGCTGCCCGCCACCACCGTGCGGGGACCCCCCATGCCGCAGAAGCTGCGCAGGTGGCAGGGGCTGGAGACCGGCACTGTGGAGACGGCGAAGTCCTAGGGGAGCGAGGGGGCGTACTCAGGGCCCCGGGGAGGCGGTACCCTCAGCCTTTCCCTCCACCGCCAGCTGCTCTCGGCCTCTCCCTCCTCGGCGCCCCGCACCCCTCCCCGAGGCTGTCCCCGCTGCTCACCCGGAACGTGTCGGCCACGATCTCGGCTCCTCGGTGGTTGGTCCACTTGGAGAGGCCCACGAAAAACTCCCGGCCTGCGCCCCGGAGGCCAAGAGGTTCAAGGGCGGGGGTGGGGGTGGGTGGGATGAGTTGGAAACAAGACCCGCGATGGCCCGGTCTCCCAAACCCTGCTCCCCTGTGCCAAGCTCCGGGGATGGGCACCCAGCCTCACCCGTGAAGAGGACATCAGTGCCATCCAGCGTTGCGTTCTCGTCCGCCATCTCCACAATCCGGAGCCCCAGGTCCTGGAGGGCTTTGCGGACTCCATCCACCTTAGGGCGAGAGGAGCGGGCCCGGGACATTCGCACCCCACTTCTTCCCTGAAGCCTCGGATGTCCCCCCGCGCCCCCTGGCGTCACCTCTGGCCTGCGGGCAGGACTCCAGGGCCGCGTGATCAGGGCCGTGTCCCCCTGGATCACGGCGGTGTCGCCGAGCAGCGGTCCCAGCGGCAGCGACTCTTCAGGAGGCAGTTCTAGCAGCTGAAGCCCCAATCGCTGCCTCAACTTACCCCCCAGCACCCCGTGCTCCCTCTGTGCTTTAGCCAGGTCCAGGGCAGGGAGGCCAGCCCCCGCACCCTCCCCGGACGCCAGGCTCTCCGGGACCCCGCGGATCAGGGCGTGGGAGCAGCGGCCCAGCCCCTCCCCCGGCGTCCCCATCCCATCCACACAGTCGCCCCCTCCGGCAGCGCTGACTTCTCAGTTTCCTCTTTTTACTTCAGCTGTCTGGGAGAAGAGACATGGGGGGGGGGGAGAGGGAGAGAGAGAGAGAGAGAGAGAGAGAGAGAGAACGCAGAGAAGGGCGTGGGAAGGTGGTTGAGAACGCGGGGTCTTCCTCCGGCCGCCGGGGCACCCCTCCCTCTGCCCACCCAACGCCCGCACCGTGGCGATCTGCTTCTTTAGGGGGAGTCCGAGGAGCAAGAGCAGGATCCCGTCATCTCCAAAACACCTGTTGCCCCCGCTCGGGGGCTTCGTGCGGTTCCTGCCCGGGGCCCCTCTGGCAGCCGCTAGGATGCGCTCACTCCCCAAAAATGCAGCGGCCCGCCCCCTTAACCCTCCGCTGCTGCGCGCCGTGCAGACCCGAAGCGCGGCGAGCAACCCACTAGGGTTGTGGGGCAGGAGGCAGCTGGGGAGAGAGGGCCTGGGGCATGGAAGTCTAGGGGCCAACTGAGAAAGGGCGAGGGGCGAGGAGGAGTTAAATATCGTCTCCACCCCGCGGGGCACTCCGCTCCCAGCGCGACCCAGCCGGAACCAGACCGGGTCCCGGAGGACTGGGAGCGTCCAAACGAAATCCGGGGGGCGGGGAAACGGGGGGCGTGGCTCCGGGCGGCGGCGCCGCTCCAGGCTCCGGGACCCTTCCCTTTCCTTCCCTCCCGCTCTACGTTCCCCAAAGTCCACCCCATTCAGCTCCGCAACTCAAATGCCGCCCCGCCCCCCGCACTCTGTCCGCGCAGGCACGGGCCCGGTACCCCGATCCCGGCCCCAACACAGTCCGGGGAGCACCGCCCGCTCCAGACTCACCTCCAGCGCCCACCCCCGCTCCTACCGCTCTGTGATCTCGGCTGGGGTCCCGACCCCCGTGAGGACAGAGTTGGCGGAGAAGAGCCCCGCTCCTCGAGCCTTGGGGGCTGGAGCTTTGGCTGCGAGGAGTCCCTGGGTAGGCGAGGGCCAGCGCTCCGGTGGGGCAGGGGCTCGGCGGTCTGGCGGCTCCAGGGCATTGTCTAAACGGGACAGGGCAGGGCTCCGCAGGCCACGCCCAGCCGCCCCGCGACGCCGCGCCCACTCCGCCAGGACTGCGCCCCCCTTCTCGGAACTGGGCCCCGCCCGGCGAGCGTTGCACAGGCCCACCCAGACATGGCCGCCCCTTCAGGCTGGGTAGCAAACGCAGCACGGACCCACGAGACAACGCGACAATGGACTGGCAGTAAAAATGGCCAAATCACCGCAAGCACCCTTCTTCTAATTCCTGGCTTCTGCCCGGAGCTCAAGGTCACTGACCCCCCCTGCATTCGGGTTACCCACATTTCAAGCCCCCTTTGTGTAATCACAACACTAGATTTTCATTCTGTATTTTATTACTGAAATACATTGTCCTACCAATCAATCCCACCCCCACCCCCCATGATAAAAATCTCACCCAGATCCCCCATCCTTCCCTCCACCCCCCAGGCAATCCTGCACAAGTCTCCAGAATTCACTGCCCACTGGGCATTTTGGAGTGTGTCCCTTGGGTAGCCAAGGGAAACCACCCGGGGCCTTTGTGGGGGGGAAAATGGAGGGGAGGGGGCGAGGGCGCCCCGAGGGAGTTTATTTGAGGGCCTTGGCCACTTGCTCATAGGCCAGCTCGATCTCCTCATCGTCGGGGCAGGTGGAGGCGAACTCCTCGCGCGCATAGGCATTGCGCAGGTACCGATGCACTCCCCGGAACACCTCTGGGATGGAGAAGCCGCGGTACTTCTTACACACCACCTGCGGTGGGGAGGAGAGGAACAAACCTTAGCCTCAGGGAAGCCAGAGTGGGCTGCCCCGCTGGGTCTTTCTCTTACCCCAGCCTTCTTGTCCAGGCGTTAAGTCGCCACTGTCTAGCTCTTTTTTCCTATGATTCTTACCTGCCACGTGAATCATCTGCTCCAACCGGCTTTCTTAACTCTTTATTGTCCTATGCTGTCTTCACTTTTCCTCTCTACTTACTGATAACAAGCCCCTTTTCAGACCAATTCCAATGGTACTACTTTTCTCCTCTTGGTTTTATTGAGCTACAATTCACAAACGATTAAATTTTTCTCTTGAAATTTCCACAGCGACTTTTCTCTGTTTCATTTGGGGCAAGGACTAAGCATCACACCACTTTGCCTTTCAGCGTTCAATCCGCAGCTCTGTGGCAGACTGACATCGGGCCCAGTTTTCACAAACTAAAACCATAGCTTTAAGGCTGTGACAAAAGATGGGAACCAAGTTTTCATCTTCCACAAGAGGAGGTGGAAACCCAAGCTATGAGGAGACAAAGCTTTGGTTGTAGGAAGAGCCTGCCCGGTCTGGCCTGGGGACTGGCAGTGCCAGTGGCAGGAAGAGCATTCTTGAAAGTAACACTGGGATGTGTTCCTCTCCGCCAGCCGGCTTGCACCCAGCTTGTATCTTGGAATGTAATTTTCACAAGCAACAGTCTTGTGGGCAATGACCACTGAGAAGGAAGGGGTGGCATCTACTATTAGTAGCAATCTATGGAAACCGCCCTAAGAAAGAAATCACCTCTGCAGTGGTCGTCACGGGAAGCCATCCCAGCGGCCATCCTCTCCTCCCACCATGGACACCCACCTGCACTATGTGGAGCTTTGGCAGCAGGTTACAGTCAGCGAGAGTGAGCTCATTTCCATCCAGAAACTTCCTCTGAGAGATGCCCTCGTCCTCAGCACTGGTCTCATCCACTTCCTCTGGGAGGGGGGATGCCAGGTAATTGTCTAAAACTTTCAGGGCTTTCAGGAGCCCCTTCTCCAGGGCTGCACAAGAGAGGACATTGGCAAGAGCATCAAATGATTGACACAGTCCAATCCTAGAAGGTTCAGGGGGCAGGTTGGGGTGAGAGGGTGAATACTAATGCTAGGCCAGTCCAAATTAACAATAGCTAATGCAGTTAGCTTTCTGTTATTGTAAGCACTTTATATATAAAAACTCATTTAATTCTCACATCAACCCACAAAATAGGTATTGTTATACTCATTTTATAGATCTGGAAATAGATTTATAGAGAGGTTAAATGAATTGCCCGAAGTCACCCAGCTAGGAGGATCTGTACTCAGATAGTCTGGATATAGAGTCACTGTTCTTTTCTTTTTAAAATATATTTTATTGATTTCAGAGAGGAAGGGAGAGGGAGAGAGAGATAGAAACATCAATGATGGGAGAGAATCATTGATTGGCTGCCTCCTGCACGCCCCAAACTGGATCGAGTCTACAACCTGGGCATGTGCCTATGACCAGAATCGAACCCGGGACTTTTCAGTCCAACACTCTATCCACTGAGACAAACCAGCTAGGGCTAAAGTCACTGTTCTTAAGCATAACCCTGTTCTGCCAGAAAACGGGCCAGTAGCCAAGCCAACCCAACTAATAACCCCAATCGAGCAGAAGAGGCCAGGGAAAAAATGAGAGGTACTCAAGAGTTACGGCCAATGAGAATGCAAGGAGAGATGGGAGTTAAGCAAAAACATCTCCCTTGATGTTGAGATCTAAATTCCTAGGTGCTCCAAATGCCTCCCATCCCCTGGATCTCTCGTTCCTCCCGGGACCCGGGCCTCTGGCCCACAGGACTCACTGTCATTGAGTGCTGGGTTTGAGTTCTTGATGTAGGCGGAAAACTTGGCAAATATGTCCAGGCCAGCTGTGTTTGAGTCAGGGTTCAGGGCTGCCAGCTTGGGGTACCTGAAAGCCAAGGGAGAAATAAGGAATCCTCCTGGAGGAGCCTCAGCCCGTCACCATCTGGCTTGTTTGTTTTTCAATCCTCACCCCAAGGAGTGAGGATATTTTTCCCATTGATTTTTAGAGAGAGTGGAAGGGAGGGGGAAGGGGAGAAAGAGAGAGAAAAAAGGAACATTTATGTGAGAGAGACACATCAATTGGTTGCCTCCTGCTCGCCAGGGATTGAACCTACAACCCAGGGACATGCCTTTGACCAGGGTTCGAACCTGGTTCTTGGGCTGACGCTCTAACCACTGAGTAACCGGCCAGGGCACCATCTGTTTTTTATTTCTTCAGAGTCTCCCAGCTCCCCCCACTCCCCTTTCCCAGTATCCCAATACCTGGGAGGACACAGCACTGCCTCCAGAAACTCCTCAATCTTATTGGTGTCTGTGTGCACTTCGGTGCCATACAGCAGAAAAGGGAGCTGCCCTCCTGGGCACAGCTTCTGTACTGTCTCAGTTCGCCTGTAGGAGAGAGAGGCCACGTATCGGGTTGGAAAAGGGGGTCAGAGAGGACCAGGAAAAGGAGATGGAGGGATGTGGGAAGAGAAAGGGGCCCTTGGTAGAAGGGAAACGTTCAGGATGAAAGACACAGGTGACTGTGTGTGAGCGTGAGCACAAAGGGTGTTTAGAGGAACAGAAGTGGGCCTACCTCTTGGTGTCAACGGTGGTGACATTGAAGGTGACCCCCTTGAGCCAGAGCACCATGAACAGTCTCTGGGAGAAGGGGCAGTTTCCAATCTTGGCTCCATCACTGCCAGCCTGAAAAGCAAGCCCCACCTCAAGTTAGGCCTGGTGTACCCCATCCATCCCCAGGCCATTCTGGGCATATCCTATTCCCAGACCTCTCTCTCTCTCTCTCTCTCTCTCTCTCTCTCTCTCTCTCTCTCTCTCTCCAGAACTGGGTACTCCACCCTGGGCTCGGTCAAATCTAGAGCAGATCAGTGGAAACATTTTCTACAAAGGCTGGCTTCTGGTTTTTCAAATACTGAAGTATAGGCGAGAGGTGGGCAGAGGGATGGGTTGTGGAGAAATGAGAGGATCTGGACCCTGGAGAGGGAAGACTGACAGTAGCGTAGTTTTCCTTGTGCTACTCTAAGTACTTTACACACAAAAACTCATTTTAATTCTCAGAACAACCCATGAAGTAGCCCCGAGAGAGGGACTTGGTGAGGCCAGAGATGTAGGCTAGCGGCCTGGGTTCCGGACTGGAGTAGCGCCTGAGGACAGGAGAGGCGGGGCAGGGTTTGCAAGCAGAGTTCTGGTTCTTATACCTCCACCCACTCCGTTTCTGGGCAGCTGCTGGGGAGTCGAGGGGCTCACAGCCTCGCCCTAGAGATGTAGAGGGGCTGCTCTCTAATTGGCAAGCGGTGACCTCATCCCTCAAGGGACACCGCCCCCTAGGCTCCGGATGATTCATTTCACCAGTGTCTCCAGCCTTAGCCGCTTCCTTCCTGCCAAGGAGTGGGGGCAGGGAGCCCTGAGGCGGAGGACCCGTGGTAGAAGCCACCTTCCTCTCCCCCGGCCCTGCCTGCCGGGTCTCCCGGCACAAGTCCTCGGGCGCCAGATACTCCTCCTCACACAGGACCCAGGGCCAGAACTCTGCAGCACACACTCACCCGGGAGTAAAAGTAGCCCTTGAGGCGAGTGTGAGAGTGAGGTGGGGACCACACCCGGGCGGGCCAGGCACTTGGCTGAGCGAAGGGACAGGGAATGGCTGCCTGAGGAGTAAAGCATGAAGATGAGGAGAAACGGGCAGGGACACACAAAGACAAGATGAACAAAAGGGGGCAAGGGAACAAAAGAGGGGAAGCGGAGAGAAAGGAAGCAGGAAAGTGAGGGGGTGGGGAGAATAGGCAAACAAGAAGGTGTCTGCCAAGGGGAAGGAGGGCCAAGAGATGAGGTCCAGAGAGGGGAGGCACAGCCCGGTGGGGAAGGGAGCAGGGTGGGAACAGCGAAGGCCGGGGCCTGCGGTTGTTGCTGTTTTTTAATTATTTGGGGGGGGGGGGGGAGAGAAACATCGATGTGTTGTTCCACTTATTTATTCATTCACTGGTTGATTCTTGCATGTGCCCTGCAGTGGTCGAACCTGCAACCTTGGTATATTCGGACAACACCTAACCAGCTGAGCTACCGGGCCAGGTCCGGCCTGCGGTTTTGATACCCAAATGCTATGGGCCCACATCTCCACATCCACACCCACAGAGGGGGGAGAGTTGGGGCAATTCTTTCTCTCCTGCTTCTACAGCCTCCAAACCCTAAAGGCCCTAGCCAGCCCCCCTCTTTCTGACCCCTCTCACCTAGTCCAGCCCGGAGGCAGCCACAGCAGAACTCTCATCTCCTCCACACCCGCTTTCTCTCTCCCCAGGTCCCCAGGCCCTTCTCCACCCACCGCCTGGCCAGCCCAGCTTCTTGCATTCCACTCCCACTCCCCTGTCCTTCCCACTCACACACTCACACACACACACACACACACACACACACACTCACACACACACTCACACACACACACACATACCCACACACACACTCACACACACACACTCACTCACACACACACACACTCTCACACACACACACACTCACACACACATACCCACACACACACTCACACACTCACACTCACACACACACACACACCCACTCTCACACACACACACTCACACACACACACACACATACCCACACACACACTCACACACACACACACACTCACACACACACACACACTCACACACACACACACACACTCTCACACACACACACTCACACACACACACTCACACACACACACTCACACACACACACTCACACACACATACCCACACACACTCACACTCACACACACACACTCACACACACACACTCACACACACACACTCACACACACACACTCACACACACATACCCACACACACACACACTCACACACACACCCACTCTCACACACCCGCTCGCACTCACAGTCACACACACTCTCTCTCTTTCTCTCACACACACACACACACACACACACACACACACACTCTCTCTCACACACATTTCTCCAAGCCTCCCCCACCCCCCACCCTCCTGAGGCCGCATGTCCTGATGTTTTCCCCTGTTCCTCCGCCCTGCTACCCTCCTCCTCGGTCCTTCCCTCCGCGTGTGCCCCCCCCCCCCCCAGGAACCCTCCCTTTTCCCCACCGTGGGGTCCTTCCGGCTGATGGGAACTTGCACTTGTACAAACTTTCCAGGGTTGAGCCTAGAACTCTTTCTCCACCACCTCAATTGTCCTCCCCTCCGGAGCCACCCCCTCCCGACCAACAGACGGCAGGTTGGGGGGGGGCGGGCGGCAGGGAGCCGGGGGCGGGGGGGGGGGAGATGGGGCCGGGGGGGGGGTCGGCAGGGAGATGGGGCGGGGGGGGGCGGCAGGGAGATGGGGCGGGGGGGGGCGGCAGGGCGATGGGGCTCGGGAGGGCGGCAGGGAGATGGGGCTCGGGAGGGCGGCAGGGAGATGGGGCGGGGGGGGGGGCGGCAGGGAGCCGGGGGCGGGGGGGGGGGAGATGGGGCCGGGGGGGGGTCGGCAGGGAGATGGGGCGGGGGGGGGGCGGCAGGGAGATGGGGCGGGGGGGGGGCGGCAGGGCGATGGGGCTCGGGAGGGCGGCAGGGAGATGGGGCGGGGGGGGGGGCGGCAGGGAGATGGGGCTCGGGAGGGCGGCAGGGAGCCGGGCCGGGGTCAGGCCGGCCCAGGGAGGGGCGAGCGCGCCGTCGGGAGTGCGGGGCCGGGAGCGCGGGGCCGGAGTGCGGGCCGGGCAGAGGCTCTCACCTTCACGAACAGCTCGACCTGCGGCTGCTCCTCGGCCATGGCTGCGGCGGGGACCAGGAAGCGCCGGGCGCCGGGGCGCTGGGAGGGGCGGAGGGCGGGTCTCCGGGCGGAGGACCTGGGCCGGGCCGACGCCCCTCGGCTCCACGCGGGCGGGTCGGGCCGCTGGCTCCCCGCTCGGCCTCCCGCCGGCCCGCGGCCTCCCACCAGCTCCTGCCGCTCGGTCCTCCGGGTCGGGTCGCGGCTGACTCACGGGCCGCCCCGCCCGGAGCCTGGGGGGGAGGAGGGCGGGCCGAGTCGGGAGCGGCCCGGGGGCTGGGGGAGCAGGCGAGGCCCCGGGGGGCCGTTTCTCGCCGCCTCCGGGGCGCGGGGCCCGCCTCCCTCCGCCCTCGGGGGACCCAGGCGGGCACTTAGGACCGGGCCGTCGGTTATTCCTTCTCCCAGTTCCTTCCAGATGCCCGCCCGGGGTCTAGGACCGGGGAGAGAGCGGGGGACGCGGGGGACCGAGGGGGAGTCGCGTCCGGGGCGGTCCGCCCCCCGCCTTCCTGCTGCCCCTCTGCCCCTCCAGGCCCGTCCTGCGCCCGCGCCCTCTTCTCTCCGGCGGCTGCTTGGGAGATGGGCGACGGGTGAGGCAGTCTGGCCGCGGGGCCCGGGGCAGAGGGCGGCCGGCCCTGCCCGGTGGGAAGCAGAGCGCAGCCAGAGCAGGGAGAGCGGAGTCCGCGGGGACAGACGGAGGGGAGCAGCCTTGCCCCCACCGCTTGGGCTTGGAGGTCTCTAGCTGTGACCTGCTGAAAGCAGCCCAGGACAGGTGCTCCGAACCGGACATTTTCCGGCCCCTGCATCTTGACTCTCCTACTCACACCCCTTCCCTCCTTCCTCACCGCCCTCTAACAAAAGACCGACGGTTCCAGAAAAACTCGGTGGAGCGCAGGGACACAGGAGCAAAACCAAGCCTGAGACCTGGAAACACGGAGGAACTCGGGGCAGGAGTGGGTGGGTGGCCAGAGCTGCTGGGGACCCGCGGTTGGCGGTTTCCTCCCGCTTCCTCTTGCGGGGTTTGCGCCTCGCGGGCGGGGTGGGGCCGGGGTGCGGGGTAGTCTTTCCTAGGGGAGACATGGATGTCTTTGGTGTTTGTTCCTTGAATTGTGACATCCTGTAAGGAGGTAGAATGATTCCTGCTAAAGGGAATTCCTTCCATGGTGACCCTCCAAGTCTGCACGCAGCCCGTCCAGCTGAGGCCCAGCAGCGCTAGGCCAGGTGCTTCGTCCAGCTTGTCAGTGTCCCCCAGAGACGCTGCCCACGAAGCTGACCCTCAAGCGAGGGGGCCAGCCCTGAACCCAAGCAGGTCTGGCAGCTGCTCCCCTGCCTCTCTCTTCTTCCCGACGCTTTCTAGCTAGAGCTGCCTTCATCCTCAGTACTGACCGGCTGCTGGCATGGCCCTCCACAAGGTATTGTTGCCTCAGTGTCCCCGCTGACAGGTGATGCTGCCCTCTCCTGGTACCACCCAGCCACGCCCCAAATCCTGCTTCAGAGGCTGCCTCCCACTTCATCTGCTTGCCCCCCACTGTCTCCTGTCGCAGTAGCTCCCCTTTCCTTTCCTGGGCAGGATTTCCTTTCCACTCTCTCCCCTTCCTGGGCTTGGTAAACCAGTCCCTAATCTCTTCCCACCCGATTGGAAGGTGTGTCCCTCCCAGACACTGCTCAGACACGCCTCAGCCTCCTCCAGGTTTCCATGGTTCCATTGCTCAACAGTTTGCCAAGGGTAACCATTAACCTTGCCCTAACTAGCTTCCCCACCTCTCTCCATAGAGGGGGCTCTCCAGCCATTGTTCAGCTGAGCCAGGTTACCCCACCATCTTTCCTAAAGTCTTGGGTGGGACCTCCCCATCTCAGGGTACCCAGGACAAAGCTGGGAGGAATGTGTATCTGCAGGGATCTGTTTCTTAAAGGTATACATTTGTTTATTTCTGTTCACAATCTATCTCCTTGCTTCTCCTACACTCACACACACTCAAAAGTTAGCTTCATGGAACTCAGACTTAATTATGTTCATTGCTTTGAGTCCACCACCCAGAGTAGGACTACATAGCTGCTGTAGGAATGAGCCCCCTCTGTCCTTACCAGGTGTGGGTGCCCAGGGGTGGGGCATGTCCCCAAAGGAGTGTAGGTGTTCTTATCAGGTCTACTCTGTCAGAATTGGGTGCAATTCCCACACTTTCACTTCCGGGTGGGGTGGCCTAAAATAAGTTAGGCCCTGTGGTGCCCCCGGGGGGTGTTCATACACTGTACCCAGGAAATCGGCAGAGGAGGTTGAGATACGAGTCTCACTTCTTTCTCTTTTTTTAAATATTTTTTACTGATTTCAGAGAGGAAGGGAGATAGAGTTAGAAACATCAATGATGAGAGAGAATCATTGATTGGCTGCTTCCTGCACCCCCCCCCCCCCCTGGGGATCGAGCCTGCAACTTGGTCATGTGCCTTTGACCGGAATCGAACCCGGGACCCTTGAGTCCACAGGCTGACACTCTACCCACTGAGCCAAACCAGCTAGGGCGAGTCTCACTTATTTCTGCTTATTTATTTATAACACATAGTTCTTACTACGTTTGCCAGGCACTGTTCTAAGCTCTTTATAAATAAACCAAGAGGAACAAATATTAACTTAGAGTTGTTGACACAGTTGAATTATTGTTGCTTATCTCCAGAAAAAACAATGCGCCTCTGGCCCTTTAAAGTCGTTCTCCCGGATTCCCCCCTCCCCCGGCAAAGCCCCCAGAACCGTTTCCTAGGCTAGGACTCGAGCTCGGCTTCCGGCCTCCTCTCAGGCTCCACCCCGCGTTAATCAGATCCCGGAAACCCTGGGGCAGAGGCCCAGAGGCTGAGCGGCGGCCGAGGGCGGGAAGTTTGAACGTCTTGGCACCACCCATTTAAGAACAGGCCAATCAGCGTCCAGCCTTCTTAGCGACCGCGCCCCTCCCCCTCCCGTCCTGCTGGCTTTCGAGGCAGGATCCGGGTCTCTCCGACCAATAGCGATTAAGGGGGTGGGGCCCCTGCGCGCGCACCCGTCCTGGCGTCCGCGCGCTCCTCCTGCAGGCCTGTGGTTGGTCGTGGCTCGGTCTCGCGCACGTCTAGGTCCGGGGACAGAAAAGGCGGGAAAACTCCGCAAGTTGTCCGCCTGTGGGGTAGGAAGCCTAGAGCGCGGGCCCGGCCTTGGGGCGTGGCTGGCAGGGGCGGGAGAGGAGGCTGGCACAGCTCGCCCACGCGCCCCGCAGACCGTCTCTATCCCAGTGCCACCTCGGCGTGACAGGAATGTGCGGGGCGGGAGTTCCACAGACTGTCCGTCCTTGAAATACTGAGAGGTCGCCCCTCGAAATGCCCCACAGATGACGGAAATAAATGTGACCTCTCCTCGCCTCAGCCCTCCCAGACTTCCCTGTGCACTTGCGCCCGCCTCGCGGTGAGCGCTCGCTCCTGAACCGCCTTCATTTCCCGCAGCGCAGAGCCTCCCTGCCCATGGCCTCGGTGGGAACGACCGCCGGCGGGACGCGGCAGGGACCGGGAGCCGGGGCGGCCGCGGCCAGCTTCCCCAGCCCGGCCCCGGTGCCGGGCCCCGCGGGGGCGGAGGACGACGCGGAGGAGCCGGCGGAGGTCTCCGGGGCGGCGAGGCCGGGGAGGGCGCGAGTTGCCGGGACGTCCGGGCGTTGGAAGAAAGGGGCGGGGAGGGGGCGGCCGCTCCCCCGCTGGCGGCTTCACAGGCGCCCAGGGTGCGGACGGTCCGAGCTGAGGAAATGGTGACGGTGACGGAGGCCTGCTTCCCGTCTCCGCGCAGACGCACCTGTGCGTGCTGTGGAGCGCCGGCTGCCTGGGCTTGGCCTACTACGACACCGGCGACTCGGCCGTGCACTTCATGCCCGACGCCCCGGACCGCGAGAGCCTGCAGCTCCTGCAGAGAGGTGGGCGGGCCGCGCTCCCCCGGGTCCGCAGCGCTCCCGGCCTCGGTCGGGTTGATCCGTTGACTTCGGAGGACGGTCTGTCGCTTTTAAGACTCCATTTCATGATTCAGCAGATATTTATGAGGTGTCTGCAAGGTGTCAGGTGCAGGGATGCAGTCCTGGCAAACCAGTCATGCCTGTCCTCTGGGGTTCATACTCCAGGGCTCCCCCTTCCCCCACCTCACCGTCTGCTACCTGCCCTTCCTCGCCCTCATGCCTGACTCCCGATGAGGCTCCCAGCTGGTGGGCTCTCCCTGCTCTTAGAGGAAATGCGCTTCTGAGGTGGGGAGGGGGACAGCAAGGAGAGGAATTAGGAAATACAGGTCCTGTCACTCATTTGGTCTGCGTTTCCTTCCAAGTCCTGGATGAAATCAGCCCCCGGTCTGTTGTTACCAGCGCCAAACAGGATGAGAATATGACTCGGTTTCTGGGGAAGCTTGGTAAGGACTGGGTAAGGCTGAGAAGGAAGACGAGGAAGGACTGAAGTGTGGCATATTACAGGAGATGAAAGGGTCTCGGAGGGAGGCAGAGTCAGGGTGAGAGAAGGGAGAGGCAGAAAGACTGAAATGTACAGACTAACGGCCCTTTCTTTGCCTCCCTCACAGCCTCGCAGGAACACGGAGAGCCTAAGAGACCTGAAATCATATTTCTGCCAAGTGTGGATTTCGGTATCTCCTTTTGCGTTGCTCATTTCCGAATCCCAGTTTTCCAACCCTTTCTCCTAATTCCACCCCATCATCAGAGGTCTCTCCTCGGCCCTATCTCACCTGAACTGTTATGTCCTCCAAGCGCCATGACTGGTCTCCTCAGGATCTCTCCTGCTCCCCACCCTTCAATAACCTGCACCTGCTATGAAACCTCCGCTTCGGTGTGTCTAGGGATGCGGGCCGCCCCTGAGAAGAGAGTGGTGACACTATTTGGAATTGGAATCCCCCCCCCCCCCTTTAAGCCAAAGCTTTTGTTTGGGTGGGAGGGAAGCTACTGCCTCGATGACCTTGATGATCCCTAAGGCACGTCCATAACCTTCCCTGATTTGCAAAAAAGACGGAATGTTCTCTCCTAATTAGATGTTAACACATTAGTCTTATATGATCTTTTTCACCAAAAAACCCCAATTCCAGACAGATTTCTTAGGCTGTGATCTCAAGCCAAACATCTTTATATTTTATATATAGAGATAATTAGACCAAGGGTCTGAAAATTTGGTTCTTGTTTCAGTTTTCCTTCAACTGCCTGTGTTAACTTGGCAAATCAGATCATCTGTCTTCTATTTTCTTTCTTAAAATAGAGTGAAAAATTGGATCACAAGACCTTTCTCTTTCCAAAATAGGTCTGGAGATAAGCAAACAGCGCCTCCTTTCTGGAAACTACTCTTTTATCCCAGACTCCATGACCACCACTGAGAAAATTCTCTTCCTCTCCTCCATAATTCCCTTTGACTGCCTTCTCATGGTGAGAGGGGTCCTGGGAAGTCAGGGCTGGGATGCCACAGGTTGGAGAAAGGCAAAAGCACCCCAGTCCTTGGGTTGAGTCCTGGGAGTTTCTAGCCCAGCCCTGGAAAATAATAGCTTCAATGGTATTGTCCAGCCTTCAAGACATTGGGATTTACCACAGCTCCACCCTTTAAAAAAAAAGTTTTTAATTGATTTCAGAGAAAGGGAGAGAGATAATCATTGATCAGCTGCCTCACGCCCCCCACTGGGGGGTCCAGCCCAACCTAGGCATGTGCCCTGACCAGGAATCTCACCAGTGATCTCCTGGGTCATGGATCACTGCTCAACCACTGAGCCACACCGGTCGGGCCCCCAGCTCCACTCTTGATCCTCTCTCAGGTTCGAGCACTTGGAGGGCTGCTCAAGTTCCTGGGTCGAAGAAGAATCGGGGTTGAACTGGAAGACTATAACGTCAGCGTTCCCATCCTGGGCTTTAAGAAATTTGTGCTGTAGGTGATTTACCCTTACCTCAGCCAAAGTAAGATGGGAAGTCTGAATAGTAACAGGGTGGAGTGGGAGGTAGTGATGCAGGGGTGGGCAGTGTCCTATCAGGTAAAGTGCTCTAGGACACACTGGAACACCTGAGGAGATGTGTAGCTCAAGGGACAAGCCTGAGACAGTATTCTGGAAGGTGGGGCAAAGGGGATGAAACTGAGAAATGAACTCCAACCTCATACCCCAGCACCTTCCCTTCTGCTTATTTTTTGCCCTCAGGACCCATCTAGTGAGCATAGATCAAGATACTTACAGGTAAGGAGATGGAGGCAGGCTGTCATCTCTGGGAAGGGAGAAGGATTAAGCTTAATGCTCTAATAATCTTAATGAGGCTCCAGTTTTTTTAATCCTGGGGCTATTAGGATAAACCTCCCTGAAGGAAAAAGAAGTGGGAATTAGTGGGAGAGAAGAAGAAAAGCATGAAGGTGTCACTCTTCTTTTCTGAAGAGAGAAACTGAGGCAGAGAGAAGTGAAGGACAAAACTTACATCAAGACTTGATCTCAGCAGGATGTTCTCAACCCCTTCTATTTTCTCAATTCCCTTTAAAAATCCAGCCCTAGCTGGTTTGGCTCAGTGGAGAACGTTGGCCCGAGGACCAAAGGGTCCTGGGTTTAATTCCAGTCAAGGTGTGTACCTCTGTTGCAGGCTCCTCCCTAGCCTTGGCCCTGGTTGGGGCACGTGCAGGAGGCAACCAATGGATGTGTTTCTCTCACATCAATATTTTTCTGTCTTTCCATTCTCTGAAAATCAATGGAAAAATATACTTGGGTGAGGATTAAAAAAAATAAAACCCAAGTTACCCAGAACTCCCCCATTTCTCCCTGACAGTGTTCTGCAGATATTTAAGAGTGAGTCTCACCCCTCAGTGTACAAAGTGGCCAGTGGACTGAAGGAGGGGCTCAGCCTCTTTGGTATGTGTGCCCCATCCCTCATCCCACACTACAAAAGCCTTCCAGAAAAGCAGCTTCCTCCAAAGATGTGTCCCAGCCCCTCTCTTCCCACTTCATTCCCATTGTCAGATGCCTCTTGTACTCCAATCCAACTTTCTTACCCTTTTTGTACCCTTCCTGAACTTGGGCACCTCCCCTTACCCTGTAGTTACCCAGTGTCATTAGCATATCTCTTACTTTACCAATTCCATGTTTATTCCTTAGGTTTGTATGATGTCTCTACTAGCTCTGTACCTGTCTGGGGACTTGGGAGGCCCTTTGTATAGAGGAGAGTTAGAACTATGAAACTGCCCATATTTGATTTGCATTGAGTATCAGTTGTTTCTGACTTTAGGGTGTACTGGGGACATCGCCCCAAGTATCCACCTGGTTTCACTATGCATATATCAGTGGGTTGTGTCTAATGTTTACGTATATGTATTCGACTCTTTGTGAGTCTAGCTATGCTTGCTCTGCCTATTTTTTTTGGCTGAGTGTTCCTTCTCCTAAGCCCATGTAAGGTAATACTGGCTCAGACTTGTGGCCAGCTGCTGACTTTGGTTGCCTTTGTGTCCTGTATCTGGGAAATAACCCCCAGGCCAGCCTGCCCAACACTGGAATCTCTGATCCCATGTCTCAGCTTAGACAGCCACACATTCCTTTTCCTGCCCCCTCACCTCCACAGGAATTCTCAACAGATGCCGCTGTAAGTGGGGAGAGAAGCTGCTCAGGTGAGTGGGACTCATACTCGTGCTATAAGCTAATGCATGCAATCTTGAAACATACACACCACTCCATGTAGTAGTAATAAAAACAGCCGCCCTTTCCGTAATGCTGACTAAATGCATTTAATCCTTATAACAACCCCACGTGGTAGCTAGTATCATCCTCATTTTACATTGTCGGCACAGATAAACATATATACTCATTGATGATACTCTGACTTGGACACATACAAGCAGCAGAAACACAATCACAAAACCCTAATGTATATATGGTAATAACTTTAATTATGAAAACCACACTTCAATTTGAGCTGTTCTCTGATAACTCTCAAATTTGTGTCTAGTTCAGAGCTCCACATGTAGAATGCTAATTACATTGCTACCTGCAATTTCCACAGGCAGCTCAAACTCAGAGCATCCAAACTGACACCCACTGCACCTGTTCCTCTTCCTGCATTCCCAATTCTGGGTGATAGCACTGCTGGCAGTACAGCTTCTCAAGCTCTGACTCCTGGATTGATGCTTCTCCCTCACCCTCCATATTCAATCATTCACTAGGGCCTGTTGTTTCTAGCCTCCAATGTCTCAGCCATTCCTTTCTCCCTCTTTCCACTGCTCTAATTCTGGGTATCATTTCTAACTGGGAGCATTGCATGTGCCTCCAAATTGGTCTCTCTGCCTCTACTCTCTTATTTTTCCTAGTCTATCTCTTACTCTAAAATACCGGTTAATCCAAAACAGAGATCTGAGCATGTCACTCCACTTTTCTAAAAACCTTAGGTAGAAACAAAAGAACAAACCTCAGGAGGCTTCCCCATTACCTGCAGGATGAAGACTAGCATCTTTAGCAGCATGATGTTCAGGAATCCTCCCATTCACCCCGTTTCATTCATAGGCTTACCTTCCCGTCACCCTCCTAAATCCTTTCTTCCTGGATTCATCCTCTATTCCAGTCATTTAGGGCCTCTGGCCATCATGGAAATACATCATGCCTGTGTTTATACTGTTCCTCTGGAAAGTCCCTGTTCTCCACTTGTCAGACTCTTACTTCAAGGTGCAACCCAACTGTCACCTTTTTCATGAAGCTTTCATAGGCGTAAGAAGACCAACATTCGCCTTCCAGTGTGCTCACGTAGTGCTTGTGTATATTTTCTAGTTGCACTATGGAATTAGTCATCTGTGAATTTGCTGGCCCTCGTAGCTGTGAGCTCTTCAGTGGCCATTCCTGTTACCTCAGTGCCTGCCACATGGCCTTGCACTCAGTAGCACTCAGTGAGTGAGCACAATACATAGATGCTAGCATACAGGTGGCATCATCTCTAAAAACTTGGCAGAACCCTTTGCTAGCCTACAGGTGCACAATCTTCCCCACCTCCCCCACCCTGCAATGTGTGTCTTTTGGATGTTAATTTAGGATAATTTCCAGCTAACTGGAGGGTGATATAATTGCCACACATTCTCCAGTGCTTCAGGAATAGATCTCTAATCTCAACCAGGGGCGAGAAGGAAAGAATTCTCCGTGGAGAAGAGAACTGAATTAAAGCTGGGAAGGAATGCAGATTACCGAGATAGGATTCCCCAGGGCATGGAATCATGACCCGAATGATGAACTAAGGGCCCGCTGACCTAAAGTTGGACAGGACACCAGGAAATTAAGTGAATGTCAAGTATGCTCTAAAAAGCACTGTCTTAGTACTCCAGAGACCCGAGTTTGAGTCCCAGCTTTACTTCTTACTAGCAGTATGACTTTGGATAAGTTGCTTATGCTGTAAGGGCCTCATTTCTTCAGCTGTAAAATGAGGAAGCTTGGCTTGGTTAAAGTCTCTCCTGGCACGAGCAGTAAAAACCTATGTTTTACATGAAATGTAGCTTGGTGAAGCTCATGTGCTCTCCAAGGTGGGGACAGAGTCATAAACTGGCCTATACTGCCCTGGGTGGAGCAGCCTTTTGTGACCAAGGAACAGAGGTACCTAAAACCCACCCTCAAATCCAACTGAGTCCTCCACTTTATTCTAACCTGGGGTGTTCTAACCAGGGTAACTGGCATAGACTACAGTATGAGATACACATCCTCAGACCCAAGTGTCTCCACACGTTATCTCATATAAAACTAGAGACCTAATGCATGAAATTCATGCAAGAGTAGGCTTTCCTTCCCCCGGCTGCCGACACCAGCTTCCCTCTGGCACCCGGGACCCGGGCTTCCCTCGCAGTCCTGGCTTCGTCTGGAAGGTCTTCTAGTCTAATTAGCATATTACACTTTTATTATAGACTAGAGCAGCCGTGGGTAAACTATGGCCCGCGGGCCAGATCCGGCCCGTTTGAAATGAATAAAACTAAAAAAAAAAAAAGACCGTACCCTTTTATGTAATGATGTTTACTTTGAATTTATATTAGTTCACACAAACACTCCATCCATGCTTTTGTTCCGGCCCTCCGGTCCAGTTTAAGAACCCATTGTGGCCCTCGAGTCAAAAAGTTTGCCCACCCCTGAACTAGAGGCCCAGTGCACAAAATTTGTGCATGGGTAGGGTCCCTAGCGGCTGCCACTTGCCAGCCGGGGCCTCCCTTTGCACCCGCCTTGGCCTGGCACTGCCCGCTCACCTGCTCCCCCATCCTGCCACAATACTGCTTTTGTCAGGACCCATCGGGCTGGTAGCACTTCCACTGCCACCCGTTGCCAGCGCCACGTTGCTGATGCCTGCCATTTTCTGTGTCGCCCCCTGTTGGTCAGCACATGTCTAACTCCCGGTTGGTTGAACTCCCACCCGTAGGGACAATTTGCATATTAGCCTTTTATTATATAGGATAATGGCTTGCTCTAATGTAGAAAAGAATCTGTGGGCTCATAGGTCCTTACAGAATCTCACACTCTTTATAGCCATAGGGAGATAGGGACACCCAGAATTGGATAAGCGTAAATGAGACATTTATTTCTGTACACTAACTTAATTAGTAGTAAATACCTGATACATAAAAGGTGTAAATATTAATAATAATATTATAAACTTCTGTGTTTCCACCAGTCAATCTAAAAATTAGGCAGTGTTATTGAAGCCCCTTAGATGTCCCTCCCCAATCCTTTATTCTCTGTAGAGAAGACCATTATCATGAATTGAGGAATTAAATCATTACACATGGGACAATTATATACTTAAACAGGAAGAACAGGAGAAGATGAATGCCTGTGCTATTACACCAGAGACACTTTCACAGCTATGCAAAATCATTCTGACTCACCCTCTCCTACTCAGCCACCAAGAAAGCTAGATTGTTGTCATACAAATGCTTCAACACACCACCCTCCCTCTAAAATATTGACAAGCTCTGTAACATACCCACATGGAATGACACACATGGTCCTATCCATCAAAACTGTGATACATAGACACAGTTGTGCTCATATCCAGAGAGGTTCAGTAGGTGCATGTAAACACCCCTGCATAGATAGAAAACTGTACTTGCCAGTACAGATACACATTGCCACAATCGTCAGGGACCTGCAAACACATTTTCACAAATTGAGATCACGACAATGATGAGAACAGATGTAATTTCAGGTCTCCTCACCCCAACCTTAACTTCCAGGCTGTGGTTCACACGTCCAACTCATGACCTGGGGGAACTAAATTCTCGTCTGGACGTCATCCAGTTTTTCCTGCTACCCCAGAATCTGGACATGGCTCAGATGCTGCATCGGTTGCTGGGTCACATCAAGAATGTGCCCGTGAGCCCAGGGTTGGGGGCAGGGAGGTGGGGAGGTTGAGGGCCGATCCAGGACATTGCACTTCCTGAGGGGCATTCGGGTGGGAGAGGGCAAACAGTCGTCCCCTGTCTGACTATCCTTATCTGACTAGCTGATTCTGAAACGCATGAAGTTGTCCCACACCAAGGTCAGCGACTGGCAGGTTCTCTACAAGGTAGGACCTACCTTCTTGAATCCTAGAAGTTCAGGTTAAGCCCCTCAGCTTGTGTTCTAGACTCTCTGTACTGTGGTTATCTTGTCCAACTTTATCCCAACATTATTTTTAAGCTTGTATTGTGGATATTGTCCAAAATATTTATTATTTTTTTTGTTTTTAATCTTCACCAGACGTGTGTGTGTGTGTGTGTGTGTGTGTGTGTGTGTATATATATATATATATATATATATATATACACACACACTGATTTTAGAGAAAGGGAAAGTAAGAGAGAAGGGGAGAGAAACATTGATGTATGAGAGAAACATCAATTGGTTGCCTCCCATACACACCCCCACAGGGATCTAACCTACAACCTAGGTATGTATCCTGACTCAGAGTCGAACCAGCAACCTTTCAGTACATGAGATAACACTCTAACCAACTGAGCCATACCGGCCAGGGCTGTCCAAAAAAATTAGAGAGAATAATAAAACGAACCCTCGTGTATCCACCTTGCAGCTTCAACACTTATTTCATGTATATCTATCTTCTCCCACTTTGCACTTCCTGGATTATTTTGAAGCAATTCCCAGCCATCATATCATTTTATCCATAAATGTTTAAATATAATTTCTAAAAGAAAATTATTTTTGAAAATGAATAACTATAGCCCTGGATGGTATGACTTAGTGGTTGGATTGTTGGCCAGCACACAGAAGGGTTGCGAGTTCAATTCCTGGTCAAGGGCACATGCCTGGGTTGCAGGTTTGATACAAGGCCCCAATTGTGGTGCATGTTGGAAGCAACCTATTGATGTGTCTCTCTCACATCAATGTTTCTCTCTCTCTCTCTCCCTCTCTCTCTCTCTCTCTCTCTCTCTCTCTCCCCCTCCCCCCTCCCTCTCTTCCTTCCTCTCTCTCTCTAAAATAAATAAAAACATACTTTAAAAATAAAATTTATGCCGAAACCGGTTTGGCTCAGTGGATAGAGCGTCAGCCTGCGGACTGAAGGGTCCCAGGTTCGATTCCGGTCAAGGGCATGTACCTGGATGCGGGCATATCCCCAGTGGGAGATGCGCAGGAGGCGGCTGATCGATGTTTCTCTCTCGTCGATGTTTCTAACTCTCTATCTCTCTCCCTTCCTCTCTGTAAAAAATCAATAAAATATATTTAAAAAAATAAATTAAAAAAAAAATAATAATAATAAAAATAAAATTTAGCCCTGGCCGGTTTGGCTCAGTGGATAAAGCGTCTCCTGCAGACTGAAGGGTCCCGGGTTCGATTCCGGCCAAGGGCATGTACCTTGGTTGCAGGCACATCCCCAGTAGGGAGTGTGCAGGAGGCAGCTGATCGATGTTTCTCTCTCATCGATGTTTCTAGCTCTCTATCCCTCTCTGCAAACAATCAATAAAGTATATTAAAAAAATAAATAAAATAAAATTTAAAAAGGATTTTTCTAAAAAAAAAAAAATCAATGGAAAAAATACCTTGAGAGAGGATTACAAAAAATTTTTTAAAAAATAACTACCATTGCCGAAACCGGTTTGGCTCAGTGGATAGAGCGTCGGCCTGCGGATTGAAGGGTCCCGGGTTCGATTCCAGTCAAGGGCATGTACCTGGGTTGCGGGCATATCCCCAGTGGGAGATGTGCAGGAGGCAGCTGATCGATGTTTCTCTCTCATCGATGTTTCTGACTCTCTATCTCTCTCCCTTCCTCTCTGTAAAAAATCAATAAAATATATTTTTAAAAAAATAACTACCATTATCTTACCTAAAATTAACATGATATTTAATATCACCAACTCTCTAATGTCTAAATATTAGGAACCAAATATGTTCAACATATGGCAATGGGATGATGTCTCTTTAAGTCTCTTTTATGGGTTCCTTCTTCTCTTTCTGTCTCTCTGTCTTTCTCTGTGTCTCTGTCTCTCCTCTCTGTTCTCTCTCTCTCATTTTCATTCTCCTTACAAGTTATTTATTGAAGAATCTGAGTCATTTGTCCTATAGAGCTTCCCTTAGCCTGGATTTTGCTGATTATATTCCCTAAGTGGTTTTGACATGTTTCTGTCTCCTAGAATTTCTTTTTTTTTTTAAATATACATATTTTTTTATTTTTGTTTGGTTAATCCTCACCCAAGGATATTTTTTCCCCCATTTATTTTTAGAGAGTGGAAGGGAGGGGGAGCGATAGAAACATAGATCCGCTGCCTCCTGCACTGCCCCCACGGGGGATCGAGCCCGCAACCCCGGGCATGTGTCTGGACCAGGAATGGAATCAGCGACTTCTTGGTGCATGGGTCAATGCTCAACCATTGAGCCACACCGTCCGGGTCCAAAGTGGTTATTTTAATTCTGTCATTCTTTATTTATTAGCCAGAATGTTTCCTTAAAGAAAACCTTCTTCTCTTCTGTTCTTTGGTTAACCAGTGATACAGTTCATATCACAGAAAGTTGCTTGATTTTTGTCTCTGCCTTTATTTGCCAGCTGTCATCTTTATAAAATAGTTCCCTAATATCCGCCCAGGTAGCCAATGAATTTTTTGTTGTTGTTATTTTAGTATCATTATGAACTCATAGATTTACAAACATGCTTCAGTCCACTGCATTTTTAATCTTTATACGTGTTCAAATTATTCTATCTTTTGCTGATGGGAGCCTCTTGAAGTTGGCTTCTGAGTCCTTTAAACACAGTTCTGGTAGATTTAAAAAAAAAATGTATTTGTATTGATTTCAGAGAGAAGGGGAGAGGGAGAGAGAGATAAAAACATCAGTGATGAGAGAGAATTATTGATTGGCTGCCTCCTGCACACCCCCCTACTGAGGATCGAGCCCAAAACCCGGGCATGCGCCCTTGGACTGGAATTGAACCCGGGACCTTCTGTCCCCAGATCGATGATCTATCCACTGAGCCAAACTGGCCAGGGCTGTTAAGATTTTTTTAATTAAATCTTTATTATTCAGATTATTACAGTTGTTCCTCTTTTTCCCCCCATAGCTCTCCTCCACCCAGTTCCCACCCCACCCTCTGCCCTTACCTCCCACTGTACTCATCCATAGGTGTATGATTTTTGTCCAGTCTCTTCCTGCACCCCCACACCCCTTTCCCCCCAAGAATTGTCAGTCCACTCTCTTTCTATGCCCCTGGTTCTATTATATTCACCAGTTTACTCTGTTCATCAGATTTTTTTTAATATATTTTTTATTGATTAAGATATTACATATGTGTCCTTGTCCCCACGTTACCCTCTACCCCCCCCCCCCCCCGCTCATGCCCTCACCCCCCCGTTGTCCGTGTCCATTGGTTAGGCCTATATGCTTGCATATAAGTCCTTTGGTTGATCTTTCCCCCTTCCCCCTACCCTCCCCTACCTTCCCTCCAAGGCCTGACAGTCCAATCAATGCCTCTCCGTCTCTGGATCAGTCCTTGTTCACCAGTTTATGTTGTTCATTATATTCCACAAATGTGTGAGATCATGTGGTATTTATCCGCTCTCCAGTTCCATCCATGCTGTGGCAAATGGTAAGAGTTCCTTTTTCTTCTTCCTCTTCTTAAAGAATACCTTTCAGCATTTCATATAGTGCTGGTTTGGTGGTGATGAACTCCTTTAGCTTTTTCTTATCCGTGAAGCTCTTTATCTGACCTTCTATTCTGAATGATAGCTTTGCTGGATAAGGTAATCTTGGTTGCAGGTTCTTGCTATTCATCACTTTGAATATTTCTTGCCACTCTCTTCTGGCGTGCATGGTTTCTGTTGAGAAATCAGCTGACAGTCGTATGGGTACTCCCTTGTAGGTAACTGACTGTCTTTCTCTTGCTGCTTTTAAGATTCTCTCTTTATCTTTTGCTCTTGGCATTTTAATTATGATGTGTCTTGGTGTGGTCCTCTTTGGATTCCTTTTGTTTGGGGTTCTCTGCGCTTCCTGTACTTGTAAGTCCATTTCTTTCACCAGGTAGGGGAAGTTTTCTGTCATTATTTCTTCAAAAAGGTTTTCAATATCTTGCCCTCTCTCTCCTTCTGGTACCCCTATAATTCTGATGTTGGTACGCTTGAAGTTGTCCCAGAGGTTCCTTACACTATCTTCATATTTTTGGAATCTCTTTTCTTTTTTCTTTTTCGGTTGGGTATTTTTTGTTTCTTTGTATTTCAAATCTTTGACTTGATTCTTGGGATCCTCTTGTCTGCTGTTGGATCTCTGTAAATTATTCTTTATTTCAGTCAGTGTATGCTTAATTTCTAGTTGGTCCTTTTTCATGTCCTCCATGGTCTCACTATACTTATTGAGGGATTCATTAAATTTATCGGCGGTTTCCATAAAATTCTTGAAAAACCTTATAAACGTGGCCTTGAACTCTATATCCAGTCGTTTGCTTTCCTCCATTTCTGCCATTTGTGACCTGTTTCTTTGTCTCCGCATTTTGGCTGCTTCCCTGTGTTGATAGAGTGGCCCTGCGCTCCAGGTGTCCTGTAGGGCCCAGTGGCTCAGCCTCCCCAGTTACCTGAGGTGGACACTCTTGGTGCACTCTTGGTGCCTTGGTTGTTGTAGGATCACTGGGAGGAATTGACCTCCAGGCCAATTGGCTGTGAGAATCAGCTGTGTCTGAAGTGAGAGAACTTCTGTGCTGAAGACACCCTTCTGGGGCAAGACTTGCTTCAGTAGGGCTTTGGTGCTCACTGAGTCTGCTCCCTGAGTGTGTGTCCCTTATGGATCTGAGGAGTTGCAATCTGGATGGTCCCCCTCTGACCACTGGGTACAGTGGCTCCTGGATCTAAGGAGGTGCTAATTCAGCCTCTGCCTGAGGCCACACAGCAGGAGCCATGAAGAGGCTCAGCTGTGAAGCAATGCAAGCCGCTGAAGGGCCTTGGGCCTTCTCTTGGAAGTTCCAGTCTGCCTGGCTTGGCTGCAGTTAGGTACATTCACATGCAAAAGCCTCTGCCACAGCCTGGGTGGGGTGGGGTCTCAGGGAGTCAAAGGGTGGAGAAAGCAGCTATGGCTGATTCTCCTAAGGAGTCGCGCGTCTCAGTGACCTGATAATTGCTGCAAGCACCTCTGAGGGAAAGCCGCACTCAAGTTCGCCCGCTGCCCGACAGTCCAGCTTCTCCCCGTATGAGTCCTGGGTCCCCAGAGACTTCCCGGAACCGGAGTTCAGAGCAGTCGGGAGCTTGTGATTCAAAAAAAATAGCCGCGTCTTCAGGTGCCACCCCTTTTCCGCGCATGCATGAGCCGCCGTACCTCTGCACTTCACCTCCGCACCTCTGCACTCACCTCCGCAGCTCCTCTGGCTCTCAGTGTGCTTTTCTTTCCTTCTAGTTGTAGAATTTACACTCAGCCAGGCTTCCTGTTGTTCTGGATGATGTCCGCTCTGTCCTTTGCGGTATTTTTCAATTGTTGTGGGAGGCGGCAATTTCCCGGTGTTTATCTATGCTGCCATCTTAGTTTCTCCCAGATTTTTTATTCACTTGATTTTTATTTTATTTTAAATATATTTTATTGATTTTTTACAGAGAGGAAGGGAGAGGGATAGAGAGTTAGAAACATTGATGAGAGAGAAACATCGATCAGCTGCCTCCTGCACATCCCCCAGTGGGGAAGTGCCCAGAACCCAGGTATATGCCCTTGACCGGAATCGAACCTGGGACCTTTCAGTCCGCAGGCCAACGCTCTATCCACTGAGCCAAACCAGTTTCGGCTATTCACTTGATTTTTAGATTCACTTGTTGATAGATGTGTATTTGTTGTTCATAATTTTTATCTTTACTTTTTTCTTCTTCTTCCTCTTCTTAAAGGATACCTTTCAGCATTTCATATCATTACTGGTTTGGTGGTGATGAACTCCTTTAGCTTTTTCTTATCTGTGAAGCTCTTTATCTGACCTTCTATTCTGAATGATAGCTTTGCTGGATAAAGTAATCTTGGTTGTAGGTTCTTGGTATTCATCACTTTGAATATTTCTTGCCACTCCCTTCTGGCCTGCATGGTTTCTCTTGAGAAATCAGCTGACAGTAGTATGGGTACTCCCTTGTAGGTAACTGACTGTCTTTCTTCTTGCTGCTTTTAAGATTCTCTCTTTGTCTTTTGCTCTTGGCATTTTAATTATGATGTGTCTTGGTGTGGTCCTCTTTGAATTCCTTTTGTTTGGGGTTCTCTGTGCTTCCTGGACTTGTAAGTCTATTTCTTTCACCAGGTGGGGAAGTTTTCTGTCATTATTTCTTCAAATAGGTTTTCAATATCTTCTCTCTCTTCTTCTGGCACCCCTATAATTCGGATGTTGGTATGCTTGAAGCTGTCCCAGAGGCTCCTTACACTATCTTCATATTTTTGGATTCTTTTTTCATTTTGCTTTTCCGTTGGGTGTTTTTTGCTTCTTCATATTTCAAATCTTTGACTCGATTCTTGTGATCCTCTAGTCTGCTGTTGGGAGTCTGTATAATATTCTTTATTTCAGTCAGTGTATGCTTAATTTCTAGTTGGTCCTTTATCACCTCAAGGGTCTCATTAGATTTCTTGAGGGTCTCATTAAGTTTATCGGTGGTTTCTAGAAAATTCTTGAAAAACCTTAAAAGTGTGGTTTTGAACTCTATATCCAGTAGTTTGCTTTCCTCCATTTCTGTCATTTGTGACCTGTTTCTTTGTCTCCGCTTTTTTTTTTATGCTTCGCTGTGTTGATAGAGTGGCTTTCTGTACTAGGTGTCCTATAGGGCCCAGTGGCTCAGCCTCCCCAATTACCTGAGGTAGACACTCTTGGTGCACCCCCTTGTGGGCTTTGTGCACAGTCTTGTTGTAGTTAAGCCTTGATTGTTGCACTGGGAGGGATTGACCTCCATGCCAATTGGCTGTGAGAATAAGCTGTGTATGCAGTGGGAGAACTTCTGTGCTGGAGATACCCCTCCAGGGCAAGACTTGCTTCAATGGGGCTTTGGTGCTCACTGAGTCGGCCCCCTGAGTGTGTCCTTTATGAATCCAAGGAGCTGCAATCTGGATGGTTCCACTCTGACCACCGGACACACTGGCTCCTGGATCTCTAAGGAGGTGATAATCTTTCTAGCCCAGGGGTGGGCAAACTTTTTGACTCGAGGGCCACAATGGGTTCTTAAACTGAACCAGAGGGCCAGAACAAAAGCATGGATGGAGTGTTTGTGTGAACTAATATAAATTCAAAGTAAACATCATTACATAAAAGGGTACGGTCTTTTTATTTTTTAGTTTTATTCATTTCAAACGGGCCGGCCCACGGGCCATAGTTTGCCCACGGCTGTTCTAGCCTCTGCCTGAGGCTATCCAGCAGGAAGCAGATGTGACCCAATGCAAGTTGTCCTGGGGCCTTGGGCCAGCTGCAGTTTGTTAGGTAATTATCAGATTGCAAAGGGCCAGGCCTTTCATATGCAAAAGCCTCTGTGGCTTGAGCGGGGCAGGATCCCAGGGGATCAACAGCGCTGATTGAGCAGTTATGGCTGCTCTCAGTCCTGCCCTCCGAGGCCCTGCTTCTCAGTGTCCCGGCATTCGCTGCAAGCACCCCCAAGAGAAAGCTGCCCTCGAGTTCCGACCGATGCCAGATAGTCCAGTTTTTCCCGTATGAGTCTGGGTCTCCAGAGACTCACCCAGAACTGGAGCTCAGAGCTTGAGACTCCCTCCCGATTGAAAAAGACAACCGTGTCCTCAGCCACCAGCCCTCTCCATGTGTGCCTCCATACCTCTGTACTTCTGCACCGCAGCTCCTCTGAGTCTCAGTATGCTTTTCTCTTTCCTTCTGGTTGTAGAATTTCCACTCAGCCAGCCTTCCTGTGGTTCTGGATGATGTCCGTTCCGTCTTTTAGTTGTATTTTTGAAGTGGTTGTGCGAGGCAGCAATCTCCGGTGTTTACCTATGCCGCCATCTTGGTTTCTCCTGTTAAGATTTTTTTGAGGGGAGAGAAGGGGCAGTTCTTTTTGTCCCCACTAGGGATATACAAATTACTGTATTTTAGTCACTTGGAAAAGTTCCACTCTGTGTGGTTATGCCACTATATGGACATACATATTTATGTTCCTTTGTTTCATTTTGGTTTTTTTTTAAATTATTAGGAATTTCTTTTTAAATTTTAATTTAATTGTAGGATTATGTAAAATATTTACATAGTTCCAAAGTCAAAGCTCCCAAACAAAGATATAATCAACTAATTCTAGCTTCTATCTCTGCCCCTCTTGCCACCTATAGATAATCTTTTCTTTTTTAAGATTTTTAAAAATATTTTTTTAATTGATTTCAGAGAGGAAGGAAGAGGAAGACAGAGATAGAAACATCAGTGATGAGAGAGAATTATTGATCGGGTGCCTTCTGCATGCCTCATACTGTGGATCGAGACCAACCTGGGGAAATGCCCTGACCAGGAATCATACCGTGACCTCCTGGTTCATAGGTCAATGCTTCAGCTGGGCAATAATCTTTTCTTTTTAAAAATGTCTTGCCCTGGCCGGATAGCTCAGTTGGTTAGTGTTGTCCTGATATGCCAAGGTTAAGAGTTTGATCCCTGGTCAGGGCACATACAAGAATCAACCAATGAGCCCTAACCGCTTTTGCTCAGTGGATAGAGCGTCGATCTGCGGACTGAAGGGTCCCAGGTTCGATTCCAGTCAAGAGCATGTACCTTGGTTGCAGGCACATCCCCAGTAGAGGGTATGCAGGAGGCAGCTGATCGATGTTTCTCTCTCATTGATGCTTCTAACTCTCTATCCCTCTCCCTTCCTCTCTGTAAAAAATCAATAAAATATATTTTTTTAAAAAAAGAATCAACCAATGAATGCATAAGTGGGAACAACAAATCATTGATGTTTCTCTCTCTCTCTCTCTCTCTCTCTCTCTCTCTCTCTCTCTCCCTCTCCCCTTCCCTTTTTCCCTCCCTCTCTCTCAAAAATAAATAAAAATTCCATGGACACAGTGAAGTGCAGTGAAGGCCTGGAAAGGAGGCAGAAGTGGAGTGGAGGTGGCCAATGGGGAGTCAAAGGGGGACATCTGTAATACTTTCAACAGTAAAGACACAGTCCTGGCCAGTGTACTCGGTGGTTAGAGTGTTGACCTGCAAACCAAAGGGCTGCAGTTTCGATTCCCTGTTAAGGGCATGTACCTGGGTTGCAGATTCCATCCCATACCTGGTCGGGGTGCGGGAGGCAACCAATCGATGTGTCTCTTTCACATCAATGTTTGTCTCTCCCCCCCCGCCCCCCCCATCCACTCTCTCTAAAAAACAATGGAAAAAATGTCCTTGGTGAGAATTAACTAAATAAATAAATAAATAAAAATAAAACAAATTATCTTCTCCCCTAGGATGTAAGCTCATGTGGACAGGGACCATATTTTGGTTGTCTTTTTACCTCAGTGTTTAGTGCAGTGCCTGGCACATTTCCTCCCTCATTATTTCATTTTGCCTTTGAGATCTCTCTGTCTTTGTTATTGTGTTTTTCCTTGTTGATCTTTGTTCTCAGTCCATCCTTGTCCCCTCTCCTCAACCAGGGCTGGCTGAGGGCCACCATCCTCTGTCCATTTCTCCTACAGACTGTGTACAGTGCCCTGGGCCTGAGGGATGCCTGTCGCTCCCTGCCTCAGTCCATCCAGCTCTTCCGGGACATTGCCCAAGAGTTCTCTGATGACTTGCACCACATCGCCAGCCTCATTGGCAAAGTGGTGAGTAGAAGGGAACTAGAGGCAGGAGATACGCTGTGGAAAATGGGAAAGCCTAGGAGACAGTGAGGTTAGCTGAATGACCAACAAGTGGAATGGTGAAAGGAGGTGGCAGAACATCGGGAACGTGCTTGGAGGGCTAGGGTTAGATCAGGGACTGCAGGGGGAATTGGAGCCCAGCTAGAGGTGAGCAACAGGACGGAAAGATGGTGCTGGCCGATAAGCAACTGGACTTCTTGCCTCCTCAGGTGGACTTTGAGGGCAGTCTTGCTGCAAATCGCTTCACAGTCCTCCCCAACATAGATCCTGAAATTGATGAGAGTGAGTATTGGGTGGGAATCGGCCTGTGAGCCCTGAAACACAAGCCTGCACAGTGATGAGGTGCCACCCTTGGTCCTCGGCCACTACAGCTGGGGATAATCATGGCAACCAGGGCAGGAGCCTCACTCTCGACGCCCTCCTAGGAAAACGAAGGCTGGCGGGACTTCCCAGTTTCCTCACCGAGGTCGCTCGGAAGGAGCTGGAGAACCTGGACTGCCGCATTCCTTCGTGCAGCGTCATCTACATCCCTCTGGTGAGCGCAGGAGGCTGGGTGTGACCTCTGGGGGCTTTTGGAGGAGGTTGTAGGCGTATAGAGGACACACTGGTACATAAGACAACTTCTGGAGAAGTTTGAAGAACATGAACACCTTGTGGTGGCTCCAGCCCCTGAGGGAAGCACGGGATCTGGGAAGAAAGTGCCCAGGACATCGCGCTCTGCTTTATCTCCTCGTTATGCTCTCCAGATCGGCTTCCTTCTTTCTATTCCCCGCCTGCCTTCCATGGTGGCGGCCAGTGACTTTGAGATCGAGGGACTGGACTTCATGGTAAGACCCTTGACCTCTGCAGGGAGGTGATAAGGAAAATGAATCAGCAGCTGTCCGGAGGCCTAGCCCTATCAGCACTGCCCAATAGGGGACCTCTCTTCTGTAGTTTTACTTTGACCTTTATTAGCTCTGAGATGAAGGAGAAAGGAGTCGGGTGGGGGCCTGCAGACAGGGTTATAAATGTGGGAGGGGATGAGGACCAAGAGATGCAGAGCCCACAGCTTGAACCCTCTGACCCAGTTCCTCTCAGAGGAGAAGCTGCACTATCGCAGTGCTCGAACCAAGGAGCTGGACGCATTGCTGGGGGACCTGCACTGCGACATCCGCGGTGAGGAGAAGCCAACGGCTGGGAGTGGGCGGATTCGAGATGACTCCAACAGGCTCCTTTTCTCCCTGCTCTCGCTCTTCACTCTGACTCTCCATCTTCTCTGAACGCCTCTGGGTGTCTCACACGGTATCTGCAAGCCTATTTCCAGGTCCCTCTGCTGGCTTGTCTCTCCTTCATGTCCCCCCCCCCCCCCGAGCTGACCCCCAGCTCCTCCCTCACCTACCATCAGACCAGGAGACCCTGCTGATGTACCAGCTGCAGTGCCAGGTGCTGGCTCGGGCAGCTGTCTTGACCCGGGTGTTGGACCTTGCTTCCCGCCTGGACGTCCTGCTGGCTCTTGCCAGTGCTGCCCGGGACTATGGCTACTCAAGGCCCCGTTACTCTCCCCGGCTCTTTGGGGTACGAATCCAGAATGGCAGGTGAGAACAGAAGCGGGTGGAGGCATAGACGAGGGGCCTAAAAGCCCATGTTCTGGGGGTCCGCCCATCTGGGCGATGTGTGAGGTACCTTTCCACCCACTGCAGACATCCTCTGATGGAGCTCTGTGCCCGAACCTTTGTGCCCAACTCCGCAGAGTGTGGTGGGGACAAAGGGAGGGTCAGAGTCATCACTGGCCCCAACTCTTCAGGGAAGAGCATATACCTCAAACAGGTAGGAGACTCCTATACACTGGCCTCTGGTACCTTCATCTCCTCCCCCACCTGCTACCAACCCCGGTCCCTGCAGCTCTCCTGCTGTGTTCTGACCCTGCCTGTCATGCAGACACTATACCCACACCCTGTTCCTCTTTCACTTGAGGGAGAGCCATGCCCTAATAGAGCTTTCCATGGCCTCAGTCCCCTTCCCTTACCTCTGAACAGGACCGTGCCATTCCCCAGTGTGCCTCTGCCCACTCCGTGTGGAAGGGGCTACGATCATCTATTAAACTATGTGCGTCTCTCCTTGATCTATCATTCACCCCTCAGTTTAGCCTCACCTTCACCTCAGCCCATCCCACCAGGCCCAGACTCTGTCTCCTTCCCTGCTTAGGTAGGCTTGATCACATTCATGGCCTTGGTGGGCAGCTTTGTGCCAGCAGAGGAAGCCGAAATCGGGGCAGTAGACGCCATCTTCACCCGTATTCATAGCTGCGAATCCATCTCCCTTGGCCTCTCCACTTTCATGATCGACCTCAACCAGGTCAAAGGGAGTAAAGAGAGGTGGGATTGGGATGGGGGGAAATGGGGAAGGAACTCTACCCCTAAAAAACGAGCAGGAAAAACATTCCCTCTGCTGCCTGCCCTCTACACTAGGGATCCTCTTTTTTTTGGGGGGGGGGGTGTTAATCCTCACCCAAGGATATTTTTCCATTTATTTTTAGAATAGAAGGGAGGGAGCACGGGGGAGAGAAATAGAGAAACATGACACATGAACTGATTGCCTTCCACATGTGCCCCGACCAGGGATGGGATTGAACCTGCAACCCAGGTACATGCCCTTGACCAGGAATCGAACCCATGACCCTTCAATGTGAGGGCCAATGCTTTAACCACTGAGCAACACTGGCCAAAGCTAGGGAGCCTCTTTTGAATCCTGGCTTTGTATGTGGCATTGTTGGCCATGAAAGGGTGAACAAAGCATGCACCTTGCCATTAAAGACTTCCCCGTCCATTGGGGTGGACACAAGCAGCTTTATTCATGGCAGACTGTGGTCAGCGTTACAGGCCTCGGATGCTAATGCAACTCTCTGTCCACCTGGTACCCAGCAGGTGGCAAAAGCAGTGAACAATGCCACTGAGCGGTCTCTGGTCCTTATTGATGAATTTGGAAAGGGAACCAACACGGTGAGGGGAAATCTGATGAGGAACTAAGGAGAAATGGAGGAGGGCAAAGGAGCAGGAGGGGAGGTTGGGCTTCAGGAAAAAGAATAGGTGTGGGGGCCGAAAAGAAACAGAAGAGTGCAAGATGGAAAAGGCCAGGGCAGGTGGGGGGACATGGGGCGCCCGTGGTTCTGCACCCTTACCCTGTCCTCTGCACAGGTAGATGGGCTCGCACTGCTGGCTGCTGTCCTCCGACACTGGCTGGCTCTCGGACCCACATGCCCCCACGTCTTTGTGGCCACCAACTTTCTGAGCCTCGTTCAGCTACCCTTGTTGCCACAGGGACCCCTTGTGCAGTATTTGGTGAGGGAACTAACCTAGTCCCCTCGGGGTCCCTAAGCCAAGTGTTTCCCAGAGCTGGAGACGGGCTCCTTCCTCAGAACAGGGGCTCCCTGAACACAGGGACCATGTCCCTTCCCTTGTCCTCACTCCCCTTAGGGATTGGCTATGGGTTTCGGGGCGGGACGCTGAGTGACAATGACACACTGTCCCCTTCTATTCTTTTTTAAGACCATGGAGACCTGTGAGGATGGGAATGACCTTGTCTTCTTCTATCGGGTTTGCGAAGGTGTGGCCAACGCCAGCCATGCCTCCCACACAGCTGCCCAAGCCAGGCTTCCTGACAAGCTCATAGCTCGTGGCAAGGAGGTGATGAGATCCATGTCAGCCCATCCATCAGGGCTCCCTTCCACTGTTCCTGCTCCTCTCGGGGCCTGGGTTCCTGGGCCCATGGCATTTCTGACCTTATTTTCTCTTTTCTTACCCAATGCCCCCACCCCTGCCTCCTCCTTGTTCCTAGGTCTCGGACTTGATCCGCAGTGGTAAGCCTATCAAGCCTCTCAAGGAGCTGCTGAAGGAGAAGCAAATGGAAAAGTGAGTGGGTGGCCCAGGGTCCTGTTCTAGCATCTTCTGCAGCTCTTTCCCCTTCGGGGACTCAGAAGGCCTTTTTGCCTTTCAGTGACTCAGTTTCCCAGTTTCTTTCTGAAATCCCTAAATTTCCAAGGTCCAGGCTCCCTCTGCACAACCTCTCCCCCTGCTCAGGATCAGTTATCCGTCCTCTCATTTGGCTCTCTGTGGTCTCTCCCTTCAGTTGCCAGACATTAGTAGATAAGTTTCTGAAACTGGATTTGGAAGATCCCAACCTGGACCTGGACATTTTCATGCGTCAGGAAGTGCTCCCTGCAGCCACCACCATCCTCTGAGAGTCCTTCGTCGGCCTCCTCCCCTTCCCACAGCCTGTGGGCTGCCGCGCCCTTTTTGTTTCTTTAGACCCAAAGTTCTCAGTTTCCCCAGAAATCTTGTTTCACATTAGGAATAAAGTTTATTTTGGAGAAAGTGTGTTTCCTTAGACCAGCCAAAACAAAGCAAGAGACTAGAAGAGAGATGAAACACCAAGTAGGAGTCCACAGAGGGACCTGCCCTGACTCACTGGGGGGGCGGGGGGATAAATGGTGATGGAAGGAGACTTGAATTGGGGTGGTGAACACATACAATACCCAGATGTTGCATGATAGACTTGTACACCTGACACCTGCATAATTTTATTAACCAATGTCAGCTCAATTAATTCAATCAAAAATGACAGTGCCATTTCTGTGGGAAGACGGGGGATTCTACCCAGGGGGACTTTATGAGAACCGACTTCAGACCCTGCAGAACAGAGGAGCCTAAGGGGGATGGTCCTTCCCAGCCTCGGACACACAGCAGGAGGAGCTCTGAGGCTGAAAGACTAGGTAGGAGGCTGCAAGGAGCAGGGAGAGGGGGGGAGGGGCCAGCCCTGGTCACCAGTGGGTGTGGCTCCACCTTCCCACCTCAGAGTCCTGAGGAGCCAGGGTCCTGCCCCTGCTGCAGGCCCCTTCCAGTTCCGCTGGGGACAAGCCACCAAGACCCAGCAGCCTGCCCTAGCTGGTCTGGCTCAGTGGATAGAGTTCAGTGGATAGAGCGTCAGTCTTTGGACTGAAGGGTCCCGGGTTTGATTCTGGTCAAGGGCACATGCCCGGGTTTGATCCCCAGTAGGGGGCATACAGGAGGCAGCTGATCAATGATTCTCATCACTGATGTTTCTCTCTCTCTCTCTCCCTTCCTCTCTGAAACCAATAAAAATATATTAAAAAACAAACAAAAACCCAGTGGCCTGAAGCTTCTTCCTCTGGGTGAGTACTAGTCCACCAAGAGGCCCCAGGGGAAGCCCCTCCTCCCAGATCTGCCCTCTACATTTCCACTCAATTTTGGGACTTATAGTCTTCCTCACTGCGTTCCCTTGCCCTGGTGGACAGTCTGGGCTTGATTCAGTGACCAGACAGAACCCAAGCAGGGGCTCCTAGAAAGACCGTGGCCCAGAGCCCTAATGTGGAGTAAGCCTCTGCTGTTTGCATTTTCCAGCTGCAGAGGAGGCAGGCTCTGGAGCAGGAACAGTCTGCCCTATGCAGGGGCTGCAGGGGCTGGAGCTGCGGGGGCACGGCCAGGCCTGGTTTGAGGGCCCGCTGAGAGGCACAGCAACAGCAGCTAGGTGCGGGGGCCTTTGGTGAGCTGCGGGGCAGCCCCAGGTGTGTGAGGAAGGGGACAGGGACCACATGTGGACAGAGCCTGACCCTGCCCTGGAAAGGAGACAATGGCCAGAGATCATGAATTAGGAGCAGCATTGCAATGACAGGATGCCACCACCAAGTGTTAGGGTGGCATTCACTGTTGGCACTGGAGGAGGTGGGTCTGCATTCTATTCAGAGGGATGGACTGGATCACCACTGAGGTGGGAGAGTGGTCTGCATCACCCCAATGGGTCAGGGACTAAAGAATAGGGAGGCCAGAAAAAGACGGGAGCCAGAGAGAAAGGTACCTGGGCTCACCTGACACGCCAGCCTGCTCTACCCAGAGAAGCACACTTGGTGAGAACCATTGGAAACGAGCCTGAGCTGCTGGGGCCCATTCCCTATGAATTCATGGAATGATAAGTGGAAAAAAATAAAAAAGACTTCTGTGCTGATAAAAATGTTTCTCTTAATTGAGTGGAAGTGTGGTGTCCCTTTCCAAAGAATAATTACAAAAAACTTTGTGTCCTAAAAAAAAGAATTAAAAAAAAGAGGGAGCCCTGTGCCCTAGCTGGTGTTGCTCAGTGGATAGAGTGTTGGCCTGTGGACCAAAGGGTCCCTGGTTCGATTCCAATCAAGGGCAAGTACCTTGGTTGCAGGCTCCTCCCCGGCCTGGGCCCTGGTCGGGGTACATGCAGGAGGCAACCAATCGTGTTTCTCTCACATCGATATTTCTGTCTTTCCTTCTCTCTTCCACTCTCTCTGAAAATCAATGGAAAAATATTCTCGGGTGAGGATAAAAAAAAAAAATAGGGAGCCCTGGCCAGCGTGGCTCAGTATTTAGAATGTCAACCCATGCACAGAAGGGCCGCAGGTTTGACTCCTGGTCAAGGGCACATACTGGGTTGCAGGTTCGATCCCTAGCCCTGGTCGGGGCATGTGCAGGAGGCAACCAATCGATGTGCCTCTCTCTTACATCAATGTTTCTCTCTCCTCTGTCTCTTTCCCTCTCTCTCCCTTCTTTCTGAAAAAGCAATGGAAGAAATATCCTCGGCTGAGGGTTAACAACAAAACAACCTTAAAAAAGAATAGGGAACGAGGGTGATGCTACCTGAGGGGACGGAGGTACTGGCCTGTCGAAGAGATGGAGTGGAGAGGACTGGGTTTCCCACCTGTCGGGAGGGTCCTGGGATGAGGGACTCCACATGGGAAAGCACGGCCTGTGGTGATAGGAGAGTGGCAGATGGACCTCGAGTTCTCACACTGTCAGCCTGCAAGACTCCAGAGTTTTCTAACATTCACACTCAGAGCCCGGTAGTCCGCAGTTAGCCCAGAGTCAAAAGGTGAACATCTGTTTGAGACTCTGACTCCGGGGAAGGTGTTTATTGTTTTCAGTTGAGGCTTTTGAGAGGCTGGGGTAGAGAGATTTGGGGTCAACACTGGTTTAACGGAGAACAGCGAATATCCCCCCATTCGCCCATGTCTTTGAACATGCCAGTTCCTGTGCCATCCAGGGCAGGAAGGGAAGGCCAAGGAAGCAGGGCTTGTGGCAGTGGCAGGTAAACGGGAGGGCACAAGGGAGGAGGGCCGAGCACAGATGCCCAGAACTCCTCTCTCTAGGGGCTGTCAATGCAGCCGAACGAGGAGATGGCTCAGCCAGGCTTCCCCAAGGGTGGAGGGGCCCTACCAGTGTCTCTAAGGCCTCCCCTCAGTCCCCTTAGTTGGGACAGAACCTCCTATTCTGCCTCTTGACTCCACAGCGAAGGAGCTCCAGGTGGTGGGCCAACTGCAGTCCACACATCAGGCGTGAAGCGCCTTCTCTGCTCCTGAAAGCCTCCATTTCCCCTTCCTGCGTTCCATGCCCTCACGCTCCTATATGCTGCGCATACATGATCTTTGAAATCCCTCTGGGGAGAAGATATGTTTATTGAAACTGTCCTTCAAATTTAAATACAAAAATAAAATAGAAGTTTCTCCGGAACTTCAAATAAAAGCAATTCTATAAATAACACTTTAGTACCCTCCTACCCCAGTCTTAGGTTTGCTTCCCACGAGGGTTAGGGAAAGTGCATTGTGGGAAAATCGATTACCCTTTATCCCAATCTTGCTAAGAGAAGGGACAAGTGCATGAGAAGGAAAACCTCCAGTCCCGCTGGGAGAGTAGGGCCCCGAGGCCCACGCCATCGCTCACGCACCGGGAGGGATTGGAAAGAGCGCTGGAGACCCATCCTTTAGGGGCTGCTGTCACCAGGAGGCCAGGCCTAGAAGGAGCAGCGCCCCAGCGACTGTGCCCCACCAGGGGTTGCCTGCCAGCCCTCCCCCGGCCCTGCCCCGAGTCACCAAAGGGGAGGGAGGAAGGGTGGAGCTGGCCATGGCGAGGACCGGGCCAGACGAGTGGGCAGGGACAGCGAGCTGGTCCTGGGGAGAAGAGGGAAAGTCCGTCTGGGTGTCTACACCCAAGTTAAGCCCCCCTTGGCCTGCCTACCCTGCGATGGAGAGGGGGGCCGTCACCTGTGGGTGCGGGGCCAGCACCAGGAGCCGGAGGAAGGCGTGGGTCGGGGGCACTGGTCTGGCTTCTCGACCCATCGCAGCCACAGTCACCGTCACCACGGAGTCCAGGGCAGCCGACTCCGGGACCTCCAGCCACAGGCGCCCCCAGGCGGACTCGTTGTGCTCCAGGCGAACCCTGCGGAGCGGGTAGAAACAGCCAGGCTCCCAAGAGCCCAGCGTGGGGGGCGGAGCCAAGCGCTGGCGGAAGGGGCGGTGGGCGCCTGAGGGCCAATCAGAAGGGGCCGGAGGCGGGGCTTAGAGGACGGTACCAGAGCCCCGCGCGAGAAAAGGGCGGGGCCGGGAGAAGCCGGAGCTCGGGCTGCACCTGGAGAGGTTGGAGGTGAGCGTGAAGCTGGAGTTGACCCACGTCCTGAGGTCGAGATCCCGAGGCCCCGAGAAGCTGGCGATGCGAAGGCTGAGGGGGGCCTTGCTGCCCGGGGCCAGGAACCCCGCCGGGCCACTGAGCTGCGGAGGAGGGCGGGTCAGGGAGGAGCCGCGCTCTCCGGCCCGCTGCGCCCTGCCCGGGGCTCACCTCCAGAAGGACCGGGGCCACCCTGCAGGGCTGGGGCGCCGCCCGGCGCAGGTCCCGCCCGCCGCCGTCCCGGCCCAGCAGCTCCAGAGCGAAGGGCCCCGCGGTGGACAGCAGCGGGGGTGGAAGCGAGGCCACCAGGAGACCTCGCTCCGGGGCTCCCCTGGGCTCCAAGGGCACCCGGCCCAGCTCGGCGCCCCCCGGAACCCCTCGCAGCACGACGTGGGAGAAGTGGGGCAGCGGCCCTTCCCGGCGGCCGCCGGGGCGCAGCCCTGTCACCTCAACCAGCAGCTGGGTCCGGAGACCTGCGGCCGGAGGGCGGGGAGAAGTGGTCTGCGGTCAGAACAGGGCTACCCCCGGGAGGACGGGTGGGGCGGTCAGGGGGGCGTTCTGTGCACATTTGCGTAAAACATGTAAGTTATAACCCAGTGGACAGTTAAATAAGAGAGAATTTTGTAAGTGTGAAATCGATAAACAAGTTGGGGTGGGGGGTATAGATGCACCTGCAACTGGCTGGGTCAAGGAATAGAGGCCAGGGTGGGGGCCCTCCTCAACGGGGATCCCAAAGTGGAAGAGGAAGTCCAGCGCCGTCTGAGCTGAGGGGGGGAGGGAGTCAGAGACCTTCCCCAGCTGGCTGTGACCACGTGCTCTCCGAGCTCTGCAGCTCCCCGTCCCTCCCCTTCCCAGGAAAGCCTTCCTCCTCACCTTGCACTCTCACCCGGGTGTTGCCCTCAGCTGTGACCTGGATCTCCCAGGTCCCTGTCTGGGGGGGGTCATTCATGCTCACCATCCAGAACTGCCCAAAGCGGCGAGTGTGGCCGAGAGAGCCCTGGCCTTCCTCCTGGCCCTGGGAGACCCCTGGGTGGAAGTGGAGAGAAGAGATGGTCACAGGAGACACTTCTTTCCCTTAGCAGATAGCCCTCATCCTCCATTCTCAGTTCTTCCCTCTGCCTTGGCACACGATGGAAGTACCTGCAGGGTTCCTGATCCAGAAGCTGCGGACCTCCCCGTGGATCCGGACCATTACCCTCCGGAGCAGCCCATCCACAGTGAACACCAGCGGCCTCCCAGGCACCACCACCGGGGGTTCCAGGGGCAGGACCACCTTGGAGGGTGGGGAAGAGATAAGGCGTGGAATGAGTGGGAACAAAGACGAGAGAAAGGTGCAGACAGAAAGAAGCGAAGTGACGGACGCCTGGAGAAGACACCGACGAGAGGGGCATGAACCAGGGACAGTTACAGAGTGTGGCAGTTGGAGGCGAGGGCTTAAGGAGGAGTCCCTCACTTGTCCCCAGGACAGAACCTTGGAACCCAAGATTGCGGGGGCGGGGGGGGGGGGGGGACTAACATGGGAGGGGCGGGGTGGATAGCCTGGCTCTCCAGGAAGACAAACTGCCCTTCCCACCGCGGCACCTTCTGGCAACACGGCCATGGGAGCCATTCCCTTCCTCCTAGAGGGAGAGGTGCAGCGTCACTCACCCCCCAGCGCCGAGCTGAAAGCCCTGTCCCTCCGTCCGTCCGCTCACCAGGTCGGCCGTGCTGTCCCTAACAACAGCTGCCACGTCGCGAATGTGCTGATCTTGGGTGAAGATCACCTCGCCTCCAGAGGCCAGGGCCACCACTTCATAAGGCTCGAAGCGCAGCGGGGACAAGACCTCACGCCGGACGCGGCGCTGACCCCGCGACGGGTCTTCAGTCACCAGGAACGTTACCTGTGCGCAGAGGAGAGGCCAGTACTCAGGAGCCCACGCGCCATGTCCTGTGGTCAGTGCGGCCTCCATGCTCCCGTCCCCCCAGGGCTCCCGGCTGGTGGTCAGGTCTCCAACTACCCTCTGGCTGCTACGCAGCGTCTCCCACTGACACCCCCCCCCCCGCCCCCGTTAGTAGTTGCCACTCCTTGTAACTGTTGCCGTATGCCATCCACATAGTGGGTTGTTGGCAGCTAGATGTCCGGGTGTTCAGATGGTTTATTGGGGGCAGGTTCAAATACAAATTCAGTTTGCTAAGGGCAGGGCCTCTCACTCGTTAGTTGTGAAGGGATCAGGAAATGTCAGCCTCATTGTCCAGGCGCCCACTTCATGCCGAGGCTGCTTCGACTGCCACAGTGTGGCGGGGCCCTGGTCATGAGACTGTGGGCCTGGGTCTCCCTGGGAGCTAACCTCGGGCTGCCCACTGGCTATGCTCACCCTGCAGCGTCGCTCCTGAGCCAGGGCTTCCACGCGGTGGGTGAGAAAGGCATCCTTGGGCGAGGCGTCCGTGAAGACAAAGATGTCTGAGAGTGGAGGGGTGTGCAGCAGGGCCAGCTGGCAGGGAGGGAATGGCTGGCGTGAAGATGGCGGCAGCAGGGAACGGGGTAGAGCAAGGAGAGCCGGGGTAGAGCAAGGAGAGCCGGAGTGAAGCCAGTGGGGCCAGACTCTGGAGGAGGGATGGGGACAGGGTCCCAGGAAGGCTCTCACTCCCCCTGGTGGTGGGGCCTGGAAAGGGGGAGAGTGGGGCGGGAGGGCAGACCTCCAGGGCTGACAGGCTCATCTCAGGCTCGTCTCCTCCTCCCATGGCCTGGATCTCATTGAGTTGCTGCCAGAAGCTGTCAGGGTCACTGGTGGTAAAGACAGGACCAAACCCTGGGAGGAGGAAAGAGGTGAGAGGTGGAGAGCGAGGAGGCCCCCCACGCCCACCGGGCAGGAAGCCGCTGTGCTCCTGGGCTGGGCAGTCCTGACACAACAGCCTGCCCTGATGCGGGCAGGGCAGGGCTCGGGCCTCTGCTGGGAAAGTGGGCCTCATTTCCTTAGCAAAGTGGCGCACTTCCTGGGGCCTGGGGGCCTGGGGAGTGTGTGTAAGAATAAAAAACAGCCGGGGCCTTGGTTTCCTCCCTGCAAAGCCACAACAGCAGCACTCACCTCACGGTTATTGGGAGACTAAAGGAATTGGTTTTGTGAATCTTGGAATAGTGCCTTTGACACATAAGTGGCCGAATTCTTCATTATTCACTTCCTCATACCTTCATCGAATATGTGAGAAACCCCGTACCTGCCAGCTATGAGATTTATGCAGACTTAGACCGGCCCTGGGGAAACGCTCAGTCCTACAGGCATTTTACCTGATGATCATTTCAACCCTGGGAGACAGTCAGGATGGAGCTAGCGGGGACCCATTTTATGGATGACGAAACTGAGGCAAAGTTATATGACCAAGCTAAGGACACACAGTGAGATTGGCCCAGGTCAGATTGAATTCCTGTTCAATGCTATGTAACTGTCTGTCTCAGATACTTCAGAGGCCTGCACCCACCAACCCCCCCGGCCCCCACCCCCGCATCCCCTCCTCGGTCTGTGGGAAGTAGACCTCAAAATGGAGCCTAAGAAAGCAGGGCCACTGCCTAAGCGTGGGTGCTGGGGAAGCGCTGTGACCTGCTGCCCTTTGGGAGCAGTGGACGCAGCGGCGATTGTTCGCGGTAAGCGCAGGCCCACTGCCCGCGGCACACCTTTGCCGCTTTCCTTCCCTCCACTCTCCCGCCAGACCGGCCCCTGGGTCATGGAAAGGCACCAGCACGCAGCGGCGGGCTCCACGGGGCTGCCCGCCGCTGCTCCACGACGTGGCGAGCCTGGATCTTGGCGGCGTGGATCTCCTCGCCCATGCTGCCGTGGCGTCCAGCACAAAGCTCAGGCTGGAGGCAGGGGTGACATCCAGCGGCCTGCGGAGAGCCACAGGGCGGGTCTGCCCACTGGTCCCCAGCCCCGGCTTCTCAGCTCCCCAGGGAGCTCCTAGGGAGCCGCCCCAGGGCCACTCACCTGGAGAAGCCCCGGTCCCCCAGGCGGCTCCGCAGGAGCCCGAAGGCCTGGATGGAGGCCAGAAGGGCCAGTTCTGCAGCCTGGAGCTGGAGCGTGTGGTGGGGGGAGAAGCCCGGGGCTGTGCTGTCCTTGTTGATGCCTCCCCGGGGTGGCTGAGAGCTGCTCTGGTCAAAACGGCCCCCGTGGCTGCATTTTCCTGGGTGGGGAAAGGGATCCGGAGGTGGGAGTAGAAAACGCACTGCCCCCTAAGAGATGGGGCCTTTCTGAGCGGGCCTCGCCCTCTCACCGCTCAGCGAAGGACCGGCAGGAAGTGATGACATTCTGGAAGGTCATCCCACAGCACATGAGGGATCCCCAGCCCCCAGTCCATCCCCAGAAGCTGCCCTCAGGCAATGGAGGTCTCATTAGCTGCTCCCGCCCCTCCCCCAACAAGTCCTGGCCACTCAGCAGGCCCTCATCCACCCAGCCCTTCCCTTCCAGGAAGTGGGGTGAGGACCTAGAGCAGCCGTGGGCAAACTACGGGCCGCGGGCCAGATCCGGCCAGTTTGAAATGAATAAAACTACAAAAAAAAAAAAAGACTGTACCCTTTTATGTAATGATGCTTACTTTGAATTTATATTAGTTCACACAAACACTCCATCCATGCTTTTGTTCTGGCCCTCCGGTCCAGTTTAAGAACCCATTGTGGCCCTCGAGTCAAAAAGTTTGCCCACCCCTGGTCTAGAGACTGAGGGCCCTGGGGACCGGGTCCGGGAGAGGAGGTGACTCCCCTTACTTCTGAGGGCTTTTCTGTCTGGTACCTGGAGGCTTGGAGGGATACGTTCCAAAGTAGCCAGAGGTGAGGCGTGTGAAACCCAGCAGGTTCCCAGGGCAGCTCAGCTCCTCACAATCGGCACAGGTAGGATCTCCCACTGCAAAGGGAGGGGCACGTTCTAGAGCCCAAGACCCTGCCGCCCCGACCCTAACCCTGTCCACCCAAACTTCAGCTTTTCCTCCGCTGCCGAGGCGCCAGCCCTCAGGGAGCCATCCCAGGCGCCCCCTAGGCTCCCTGAACGACCCTGGAGTTCAGGGGCTGATGGTGAGACAGGATCTGCGGCTGGGACTGAGCCAGGGGCGCCAGCAGTGTGGGGCCAGCCCTGTGCACTGTGCACAGGAAGTGGGCGGTGGGACAGGAGGCAGCTGCGGTCCTTGCTCAGCTGGGTGGTTGAGGGACCGAGAGAGAAAGCCCCGAGGACCCGGTGGGCGGGGAGCGTGTGGGAGGGACGCATCGGGGCCTGCAGCCTGGTCCTGCCGTCCTTTCCCTGGCGACCGCAGGGAAGCCACCCCAGACGCCTGGCCTCGGGTCGAGCTGCGAGCCTCAGAGGGCATTCCAGAGAGGAGGCGAGGCGGCGGCCGTACCTTGTGCCAGGCTCCCCAGCTCCTGCCGTGGCCAGAGGAGGTGCGGGTGTGGCCGCTGCTGCCCCAGCTCCACCCAGTTGCTGTGACTGTAGAAGTCCTGCTCCGGGGAAGGAGAGGGACGGGCACCGGCTGTCTCGGCTGCCAGCCCTCACCTGCCGTGTGGACGCGGGGACCAGGGCGTGGCCTCAGGGCCTTGGCAGACCAGGCCCGGTCCCTTCCAGAGGCCTGCTCAGAAGGCACCGCCCGGGAGACGGGAAGACTGGCAGTGAAGGGCCCTCTGCCCATGACCCCCAGTCCTGCTCACCTGCAAGGCATGGAGGGCCGCCCCGAGGCGCTGCCGGGCCAGGGCGTGGTCGCCGGCTTGGGCCGCCACCAGGGCCTCCCGCAGAGCCCCCACCAGGCGTGTGCGCCCCTGGCCCAGCCGCTCGGCATCGAAGTGCCAGTCAGGGTCGTTCCTGGAAGTTGGCAGAAAGTCCTGGGCTGCATTGGCACGAGACACCTCGCCTAAGGCTGCTCGGAACCGCCGGGAAGGGGACCCAGGTCCGAAGTAGGAGGCAAAGAGGTCATCGGCGAGGAGGGTGCGGCCCTGGGAGATGGCAGGGGACGGGCTCAGGGAAGCCCCTGGGATTGGGCCATTGCCCACGCCTCCTCAGGAACTGGCACACAAGGCTGTGTGGAAGGGCACGGCGGGCACCCCTCAGGGCCGCCTGGGACCTTCCTCAGCGGGGGGGACTCCTGATTTCAGGACCAGGGATCCTGGGTGCTGTGGCTGCAGGGGGTAGAGAGGAGGGGACAGGCAAGCAGGACCTCAGGGAGTAGAGGCCCCAGGACCGCCGGGGTTGGGCTGGCATGTGACAGGACCCTGGGACACTCACCAGGAAGTCCTCAAGACGAAGGGGGTGCCGGCCCGGGGGCGGCCGCTCCAGGAAGAGCTGCAGAGTGACATTGAGAGCCGCCGCCTCCGTCAGGTCCTGGTGGGTGACAGAGCCAGGGGCGGCCAGGAGGCTCCAGATGTTGGGGAAGAAGGCAGATGTGGGGGACAGCAGCTGTAGCAGCAGCAGCAGCATGGAGCCCAGGGCCAGGGGCACGTGGGTGAGGGGCATAGCGGACGTAGACCTGGGGGACAGAGGGCTCATGGGAGGAGGGAGAAGCAATCCCAGGGCAGGCGGCTGTGTCCCTGGGCACCTGCGGGGCCGCTTCTGCTTTGCCTCAAGCTCCAGCTGCTCCAGCCGCTTCCTGCCCTCTCTGAGGGCCTTCTCGGGCGGTTGGGACCTACACCGGCAAGAGGGGCCGAGGCTCCTCCCCCGGGAACCCCCTCCACCCAGCCTGACACCCCTCCCCCCAGCACAGTAAGTCCCCTACCTGGCGGTGGGTCTCCAGCAGGGCAGCCAGTGGTGTGTCATAGGGCACTTAGGTCAGAGTTATAATTAACCCACGTGGGGCTGGGCGGCAGGACGGAGGCCCAGCAGGGTGGGCAGGACTGACCCCTGGCCTGTCCTCCGGGCCCAAAGCCACAGCAGCAGCAGCACCGGGCGGCTCCCCTGGCTGCAGTGGGGAGGTGAGCGCTGGGAGGAAGGGCGCCGGCAGGCGGCACAGCGTGACTCAGGCCTGGCTCGGTGCCAGGGCAGAACCAGACAGACACCCTGCTGCCCACTGGGCTCTGGCACCTGCCCAGCCCCTCAGCACGCCTCTCCCGCCCAGCCCCTCAGCACCCCTCTCCCGGCCCAGCCCCTCAGCACCCCTCTCCCGCCCAGCCCCTCAGCACCCCTCTCCCGGCCCAGCCCCTCAGCACCCCTCTCCCGCCCAGCCCCTCAGCACCCCTCTCCCGGCCCAGCAAACACAGACAAGAGATGGTTTTGTGGCAAAATATTTATTGCTGCCCCCGGCGGACCACAGGGCTGAGGGCTGGTGTCACAGCATCCTCTGAAAAAGGGCGATGGCCTCGTCCATCTTCCTGAGCTCTGCTTCTGTCTGCTGCAGCTGGGGGGGGGGGGGGGGGGGGGAACGGGCTGGTGGGTGGAGGACCGGGCCCGAGAGAGACCCCAGACACCCACGAAGGCAGAGGGTCGAGTTAGAAAGGCGGGTGAGGGCCACGGGACTGTGGTGGCTGGATGGGTCCCCCAAATGCTCAGCAGCCTCTCCACCAGCACCCCTTCTCTTCCACCATCTCTGGGGTTTTGTCTTTTCCCAGAGTGGTCAGTCCCCAAGGACACAGGAGCCTCAGAGCCCAGGGGCCCAGCGGCAGCCCCACCCGGGGGAGAGCAGGTGAGGGCTCCTGGGAGAATGGCCAGTCCTGCCAGGCCCCACAGCGGCCTCCCTGTGCCCTCCTGGCTTACCCAGGGCTCCCAGCCCTGGCATGTGGGACGCCATGTCCCAGGGGCCAGATGGGCCGGATGGGCCACAAGGAGCCTGGCTGGGAGGCAGGGTACCTGGTTCTGGGTCTGCCTGTCTTCACCTTGTCATGCCCCCGCCCAGCAGGTCCCCACCTGTTCAGGGGCCTGGGCTCTGAGCCCCATGGACTGCCTTGGGCTGAGCAGAGCACAGACCAGGACCGGGTCAGAGATGCGGGGAGTGGGAAGGACGCACCCACCCACACCACACACCTTGGCCTCGTCTGCCTCCTGGACCTTGAGGGGCACCTTGACCGGGTAGCCCACGGCGGCACGGCGCTCCCGCAGACGCTGGGCCTGCCGCTGCGCCTCACCACGCCTGGCCTGCAGCTTGCCCAGCTCCCGGGCCGGGTCTACCAGCCCCTGCAGCTGCAGGTGGACGGAGCAGCGGTCGGAGGCCAGGGCCACCGCGCAGCCCTGGGGCACAGGAGCCCCCAGCGCCAGGACAGCCACCACACCCGCGCTGGCCAGCGCCTGCACGTAGCCCGACACTGCTGACGCCAGGGCGCCTGTGGCCTCGTCGGCCACTTCCAGGAAACCTGCCAGGGGAGAGAGGAAGGTGAGGCAGCCACGCTAGAGAGCGGCCTGGGGACAGCGGGCGGGTGGAGGCGCCCCGAGGCTCACAGTCGGGCCGGGTCCGGATGAGGTTGTAGTCGGCACGCAGGGAGCGCACGGCTCGGGCAATGCTCAGGGCCAGCTCCAAGGCTGCCTCTGCCTCAGGGTCCTTCCAGGAGCACTGTGGGGCGGAGGAGGGTGAGGAGGGCCAGGCACAGGCCCGAGCCCCGCCCTGACCACACCCCGTACCTCTGAGGGCTCTGGGAAGGGGGTGACGCAGAGGCTGGGGGGTGCCTGCGGCAGCCGCCGGGGCAGCCTCTGGAACAGCTCCTCAGTCACGAAGGGCATGAACGGCGAGAGCAGCCTCAGGCCAACATCCAGGCAGGTGTAGAGGGTCTGGCGGGCGCACTCAGCAGCCACCTGGTCCACCCCACTCAGCACAGGCTTCAGGCACTCCTAGGGGACGGGAGGCGGGTTCAGGGCTGGGAAAGATCTAGTCTCCAGCCCTCGCTGCGCCTGTGACAAGCTGGGAGGGGACAGGCTGGCTCGGGGCTCGCTGCCCCTGCCCCCTTGTGCTCCTCCTCACCAGGTAGACATCACAGAGCTCATAGAGCCAGAAGCTGTACTGGGCGGTGGTGACGGCCGGGAAGTCGTAGGCCTGGAACCCTTGGTTGCTGAGCCTCACGGCCTCGGTCAGCCGGCTGCGGATCCAGCGGTCCACCAGGCTCTCATGGCCTCCAGGCTGGGGGGGAGGGGCAGGTCAGCCAGGGCCACCAGTTGAGGGGAGAGATGCCCAAGGGGAGGGAGCCAGAACCCCAGGAGGCAGGAACCATGGGCAAATATGCACTCAGAGCCTGACGGTGGGAAGCCACATGCCCATATGCGGGGAGGACCCAATGCCTGGGCGTCTCCTGCAACCTCTGCTCTGCTCCCCCACATAGAGGCTCCTGGGTCGAGCGGCGGGGTGCAGCCTGTGGGGGTCACTCCGAGCCCACCAGGCCCTCACCTCAGAGGTGGCCGAGGGCACGAAACCCTTGCCCAGGCCACGAAGGGCAAACTTGGTGGCGTTCCAGAGCTTGTTGCAGAAGTGGCGGTAGCCCAGGATCCGGTTCACGTCCAGGTTGATGTCACGCCCTGGTGCGGGAAGTGTCCTCAGCTCGCCCTCCCAGCCTGCCCAGGGCGGAGGAGGGGTGGCCTCAGGGAGGAAGAGGGTGGGGAGAGATTTGGGGTCCTACCCTGGGATGTGTAGGCGCACAGTCCAAACCGGAGGGCATCAGTGCCGCACTCGGGAATCCCTGCCGGGAAGTCTGCCTTCTGCGGAGGAGCCGGGCTGGAGTCCTGAGCCAGCCCCGCCTCCCTCTGCCCACGCCCCGGCCTGGCCCTCCTACGTACCTGCCCTTCTTTAGCCCTCTCCACCTCACTGGGATCCAGGTTGCTGTTCAGCAACTGGTCGTGGAGGCCCTGAGGGTGCAGTGGGAGGGGTCAGGGCATGGCCACAGCCCAGCAGCCCTTCCCAAGGCCTCCCGGCTTCCAGGCACCCACCTGCAGGGAGACTCCGTGGATGACATCCAGGGGGTCGATGACATTGCCCAGAGACTTGCTCATCTTCCGGCCATGGGCATCACGCACGATGGCGTGCAGGTAGACCTGAGGCGGGAAGGGGCTGTGGGGCTCCGCTTTCCCACCAGGCCCCCCTGGCCGCCCCGCGCCTTGCATCTCGCCCCACTCTGAACCTCAAGTCCCTTGGTGTCCCGCCAGCCCCCGCCGGCACCTTCATGGGCTTAGAGGAGTCCTCCTCTGGGAAGCCCAGGCACAATCACCGAGCAGGTCCCAGGAGGTGCCCAATCCCCACAGCCCACCCAGTCGTCCAGGGGCCCCACCCAGGGCCCGGCCGTGTGAGCCTGAGCGGGAGGCCTCGGCCGGCCACGCACCTCTCGGAAGGGCAGCCTGCCGGTGAGCTGCAGGCCCAGCATGACCATCCGGGCCACCCAGAAGAAGAGGATGTCATGGCCCGTCTCCAGCAGGGTCCCCGGGTAGAACACACTCAGGTCCTCTGACTGCGGCAGAGCAGAGCGTGACGGGGAGCTGAGCACCCACCTCAAGACCCTGCCCCACCTGAGCTGGCCTCAAGGACGTACCTGGTTGGGCCAGCCCAGGATGGAGAAGGGGAAGAGGCCAGAGGAAAACCAGGTGTCCAATACGTCCTCATCTGAGGGAAGCCAAAGGTCAGAGGTCAGAGGTGAGGATCTGAGACGAGGCCCTGCCCCCCACCCCCAAGGCCCTGCCTTGCCTTGCTGGAGGCTGATCTTGTCAGGGGACACTCCAAACTCCTTGGCTGCCTTCTCACGGGCCTCGGCCTCGCTGCGCCCACTCACCCAGTACCGCCCGTCGGGATCCTGCCACAGGTGCCATGAATACCCAGGGGGCACCCCTGCCTTGCCCGACCCTGCCTCCCATCAAGGACCCAACAAACCCAGCGCCCCCAGATGGGCTCACCTCCCCGGGGGGAAAGGCTGGGTCGCGGACAGTGACGAAGTAGGCTGGGATGCGATGGCCCCACCACAGCTGCCGGGAGATGCACCAGTCCCTGCAGAGGGCGTGAGGAGTCAGGGGGAGGCGGTGCCTGGCCAGCGCTCAGCCCTCCCAGCCCCTCCCAGCGAGCCGACGCACCGGATATTGTCCATCCAGGCGTGCCACGTCCGCCGGTGGGCCTCAGGCAGGATGCGGAGATCGCCCCGAGCCACGGCTGCACTGGCCGCCCGGGCCATCTCCCCGCAGCGCACGTACCACTGCGGCCGCAGCAGGGGCTCCACCACGTCCTTGGACCGGCTGCAGGTACACACAGGTGGGGGGGTTGGGTGGAGAGCCCCTGAGAAGCCACCCCCCTTTCTCGGGCCCCGCCCTCACTTGCAAAGCGGCACCACCATGGGGTTGTCCTGGATGCCACGGAACAGGCCCCGCTCCTTCAACGCCGCCAGCACCGCCTTCCGGGCCTCAAACCTGGGCAGGCCCTGGGGGAACAGGCCTCGTCATGGCTGTGCTGTGGGACCCCGCCGCCTCGGGACCTGGCCCCACACCCAGACAGTCTCACCAGGAAAGGGGGGGGCACATTGACAAGGGCCCCCCGGGAGTCCATGATGCTGATGGCCTCCAGCCCGTGCCTCCGCCCGACCTCGTAGTCGTTCTGGTCATGTGCAGGGGTGATCTTCACCGCACCTGGGGTGTACATGGGGGTGCCAGGGCCACGAGGACTCAATACGTCCCTTCCCACATGCACCCCCTTTTGCTGGAGGCCGCCTGTCCCCCACTTCCCCGTGACAGTCCTGAGAACCAGGCCAAGGCCTGTCTGTTTAGCTGAAGCCTGTGTTCTTGTCCTTCAGAGGGTCGAGGGGTGCGGGATGCACCTCGTAGCTCCCTCCTGCCCCTCAGGACAGCCCCTTGCTCACCTGTGCCGAACTCCATGTCCACAAAATCATCAAAGACCACGGGCAGACTGCGAGACAGGAACGGGTGGACCACGCTCCTCCCCTTCAGGTGCTGGGAACAGAGGGGCCTCAACACACGAAGGCCGGCCCTCCCTCCTCCCAGGGCCCTGGCT